TTGTACGAGATAGAATAAGCGCGATAAACATGATAAAGTTTAAGGCAGCGCGACTTCACTTTTAGCGTGACGTTTTCGTAGCCGTCGCCGTCGTCGTCGCTTAAGCTCCCTTTTGACAATACGGTACGGTGTTAAAGGGGCTACGTGAAGATGATATTGCTGTTTTAGCTCAAGCAATCCTGTGCTAAGTAAAGTCATTACTCAGTGTCTTTTAACCCGAACCAAACACAAACTTCCCCTGTATATTTAATAATAATAATAATTTGCAATAATCTTATATTAGGAAAGTTTCATCACATCACTATGGTTTACAGAAAGGTCCTAACTAAGATTAAAAGTACTAAATTAGAGTATACACCAGTAAAATGGAGAATGTTAAGTAGGCCTTACATGGCCAGCTAGAAGACCTGAAAGGGAAATAAAGTTTATCATCATCATAAAGAACGTAGACGACAAGGTGATTCATTTTGAATTCAGACGCGGTCCCCTATCTTAGAGGCCCTGACTTATTTCCACTTCTTTAACAGCTGATCAAGTTGGAAAAATCGCGAAAAAATTTAGAAAAACGCAAAGATAGTTTCATTGGCGTTACTATTGTCGAATTAAGATCCGTATCATACTCATAGTCCCATACACAACATCCCTGAGTTCCTAACGGCAGTATCACTAGTGGTTTCCACCGGTCAGGAAATGGTGCAGGAAAATCAAGGTCGGGGAATAGTCAGTGAATTCTATGTTGAGTCAGGGAAAGCTAAAATTTTGAAGAAAGCTAGGAATGAAAAATATACGTTTTTCAAGGTGCGTAAGTACTTTAAATTCATAAAAAAGGACGAATGTAAGGAGAGGCTGGAGGCCGCTGCTGTTATGTGAGACATTTTAAATTTATTTGGTCATGCAGGGAAATTTTATTTTTATCAGGAAAAAGTCGGGGAATTTTGAAAACTGATGTCTTTGGCAACCATGCATATAATGGACACCGGCGATAGTGTTAAGCTGAGTCGTAAGACAGTTGCACTAATATCCAGTCGAAGGGAGTGCAGTAATAATTTTCAGATGCTTCATTTATCAGAAGAACACGTGACTCGAATCTGGTGGTTCATGAACGCGTCTAATGGATTTTCTTCCCTTAAAAATGATGTGCAGAAGCTTTCTCGACCTTCTACTGTTTGTCATACTCTTGAGGAGTTGAGGCATTCTCAAAACACGTATCCTCAGTAACACAGTATCCCACTGCATGGTGATCAATACCCTACGAGCAGAGTCTCCTTCGATCTTCCTAGAAAATATCGGGATACTTTCGAGGAAGATCGAAGGAGATACTTGAAAAGAAAATTTTTCAGTCATTTATCGTGGATATATTTTTTAGGCAAGGGAAAAAATTAAACAAGTTCTTTGAAGCAAATTTTTCTTTACAATGTGGGTCATTTCTTTCGTTTTTCTTGAAGCACGTGCAATACGGTCGGAAAAGACTTACTTACATAAATGAAGTTAAAAATAGTGTAGATTTCGGAGCCGAAATTACTGATGACCTAGTAGTTTCATGTTTGCTTTTTAAGGAGTGCCAGCATAAGTAGAGAAAGCAATAGAAGATAATTGATGCTTTTTGTCTATTAAATTCATCTGCACATTTAAGGAAATGGCTAGAGAAGAATTTGTGTGAGTGGACTTTTGTACAATGCATGTGGTAACAGGAGCTGACATGTTAGAAAAGGAACCGCCGTATTTACCCCTTGTGTAAACTGTCCCACTCACTGAATGACAAGGCCCAATAAAAGACACATAAAACATGAAATAGTTCCTTTCAAAGTGCAACAACGCGCAGTAACAGGAAATGAATTTTGTTACGGCGGTTTCTTTTGAAATTGCTTTGATCGACACTGTTGACGTCAATAGGCGAGGTGCTACCAAATATGACCTTCGTGTCACTGTTTTCAAATTGGCCCTTATTACAATGCATCGAAATGCAGCAATATATTTCACAGACTCTAGTAGTTCCTAGAAATTTAAAATCCATCTATAGGCCTCATTCACGCGAGACTGTTACCCCATACAGGTTTTTGTGGGATAATTTTTAAGATCACCAGTGGAAGAGCTATGTGCTGCTGACACGGCGTTACTATCATAAATCTACAATTGTAGAGAGTCAGTTATAAAGACATTTCATGTAGTTCTAACTTTTGATAAACTTGTGCTGTAAATATGGTGTAACCTTTCAAGGTAAAGAAACGTCGCATTACTAGTTTGCAAAAAAAATAATGGTGGGATTTTTGTGGTGGTTTACGAGTCAGAGCCAGTATATATAATACGGATCATATTGAAGAGAGGAAGTTTTCATCACAGAAATATCTTGAGGTACCTTCGGTACTTAATTTCACGGGTCTTTAATTTCGCTTTTTTCGCGATTGTAAAAAAGAATCGCGAAATTAAAGACCGCGAATAAAAACAGTCCAGGCGAAATTTAATACCCATTTAATAGCAAATTCGAATCACAGAAACCATTCCCTGAAAAAAAATGATCAACATTGCGTAACAACAACATATATAGCTTATGTACGAACAAATGCACAAATTCAAAACACTGGTTTTACTTGTTATTCTTTGTATTTTCTGTTGCGAAATAACGTTAGTTTGCAAGATTTCACAATGGATTAGAGGATACTAAATGAAGAGGATCTTTAAATCCGCGTTTTGTTTGTTCCAGTTTATCTAGAAAGTTTCAAATACGCTTGTCTATTGAAATCGCGAAAATAGTACCCCATTTCGCCAAAATCGCGAAATTAAGTACCAACAACGTAGAGCAAGCGGGTTGTCCATTTTAAGGTGATATCACACGTCGCACTTTTCAACGACGATTTTTTAAAAAGGAAAGAGTATTCATGTCCTCCAGAAAACCTTTATTTAGCCAACATCGTTGATTTCAGACTAAAGGCAGAGAAATGTTCAAAAATACGTAACGCACCGTGTAGAGAGCCAAGGTGCTCGTGCGGAAAACGCTGGAAACTGTTGTCAGGTAGTTCTCGAAGGAAAGTTCGCAAACGACCATCCAACTGCTCGAGAAGGTTGCTATTGAATTCCTGATTTTAGAGCTAACTAGGGACAAAATTTTGTAATTTCAACTGAAGTTATTGATAACTCAAAGTTAGGAAATTTTCCGGCATTCAATTTATATAATACATGTACTACAATTGAGCAACCCTGGCGGCCAACTTACGACTGAAGGTGATGTTAAACAAGACGATTCGCAACGACGATTTTTAGCGCAATGCCATGTGGCAACATTGCCGCGACATTGTTTCGAATGGTTACAACATTGTTCCAATATTGCAACGCTGTGTTGCGCTAAAGAACACTCTACGACTGTCGTCAAATTCTAATGTCTCACTGTCAACGGTTAGAAAGCTGTTTATGAGCATTGTGAAAGATCTGGTCATTCATGAAAAACGTGTTGACCCATTACTAAATTCTCCTCACTCAAATTAGAGAAAACTTGTGAAGAACAGTAACGAGATTTTTCTTCGCTGCCCTTTTGATCACTTGCGGTTGCTAGGAGCCGTTAAATTTCATGAGAACATGTACTATCCCATCATTGTTTCTGTTTTTCAGAATCCTCTTAGAAAGAGTAACTTCAGCCTGGTTAAAGATTAAAAAACCGAGAGCTTAGGAAGAAAAGAAGCAAAGACGAGGATTGTAAATATTATCGCTAAAAAAGGTGAGCTATTTTTATAATCGCGTAGGTCAATGAACTTTGTCAATTTTATCCATTTGAACGAGACTGCAAGGATCGAATCTAAATGTTTTCCTTTATTCAGTTTATGGAAACAGTGGTTATTATATCAGTTTAACATCTCAGAAATTTACTCATGATGATTAAGATTAAATCCAATAATTTTTTATTGTAGTTTCTCGGCTAGTTGCATATGTGTAAATTTGTTTTCTGTTAACCTATAAACGGCGGAGCCCGGGTTTATATTTCAAACAACATTTTTTTTCTTTTTCATGCACAAATAAAGCGCAAGTCTCTTGGAAAAACTTTATTTCTGCAGTTTGAAGAAACAAGACGCTGCGTAGCTAGAATTAGCTGTTTTGATTTCTTGATCGATTCACTTAATAATCAAATATGGTCATTCTATTGCTTCTGAGTCTTATTTAGTGTAATTCAATGATACACCACTGAGTCATTGTGTTAATGCAATTCTAGAGTTTCGAATAATTTAATAGCTTGTGTTTCCAAATTGAAATGAGCAAAATTCAATATTTCTTTCTTTTTTTTGTAAAAAAAAAATCAATCATGCTACTTTCTGTCTTTTTTCTGGGGTATTTTGAAGAACGCCGAATGTCTCCTGCTGACGTTTAGTGATTTATAAGGTTTCGAAACTGAGTGAATCAAGTTCGTAAGGTCATTTCGACATGTTACATGTGAGAAGATTTGATAACAACTCGTCAGTGGCCTCAATATCGGGTTCCACGCTGTTTTAACTACGTTTTTAACAGCGTAATCGCATCGCGAGAGCTTTATTGCAAGTCACAAAGTTTACGCTGCCGACACACCGCGCTAAGCAATCTAAGCACCTGGGGACTCGTTCCCAGTCGCTACTGCGCAAGTTTGGGGCGAAGGGATCGCACGTCCAGAAGAAAACTTTTGCTTTCTCCAAAATCTTGGCGAACCTCCATAAACATCGCTGGAAAGAGAGTACCTTCAAATGAGTAAACTTGCCAAAGTTGGCATTGGTATGTTAGGAACAAGAAAAGCTATCACCGTTCGCTATTTTTTACAAAAGTTTTTATGGCGTGGACACATACTTTCGCTAAGTGGTCAAAAAACATAAAGCTTTGGAAGGGTCAATGTTTTCAGAAAAACAAAAGAGTTTCCCGAGAAATGTAATTTCTTAGCATGCTCGTTAGATGGCTAATTCGCGAGACGAAGGATATTCAGTGAGAATTTCTTCGTGCCCTTGATGTATGACAGAATGCTAAAATTTCCTCGTTTGTCGGTTTATAGGATGAAACTGGTCAGACGTCGCATCTTTCTTCTTTTCTCAGCAGTTTCCTTTCTAGTATTCGTTTTCAATTACATTATATGGAGGAATAAGGTTGGTAACAAAATCAAAGGACAAAACAACGCCCAAGTCTTGCATCGAATGACTAGGAATGACTGCAACGCTCTTTTAGATTGCTATTCGTTCGGAGAATGGGAAATTAAGCCCGGTTTAACACAAGAAATGATACGGGAGAGAAGAGAAGTTGACAAGTCCATTCTGGAGAGCCTTGGATTTCCAGGAGTGTTACACAGAGGAGATAAGCTCTGCGGTCAAGGAAATCTTCTTCCTTTTTCCAAATTGCCGGCGCTCTGTGATGAGTTAAGTGAGACTCCTTGTTGTAACGAAGAGAAGGGACTTTGTGGGAACTCAACAGAGGACTGCATGTGCTCCCATTGTAAAGATTTTAGCAAATATTTCGCCGCAGAGTTTGCCAATTGGAAACCAACGAGGAAAGAATGCCCATTGACGAACTTTCATTGGGACGAAGCATGTTCGATTTTAAACGAGTACGCATCGGAAGTTGCCTTCGTCGGTGATTCGTTCATTCGACATTTATTCGTAGCGTTCTCGTTGTTGGTGACGGGCGATCCCATTACAGGTGCGCTGAGGAGTAGTTTATCGGACGAGGAGAGAAAAAAATGTAGCGGAGAATGGCAGTTTGTCGATAACGGAAAACATTCGTGTCATCTAAAAACTCTCCGTAACTGGGAAGAAGTCAGAGAAAATCGACCATGCAGCGGAAGCACGCAATTTAAAACGTATTTGGTGGAAGCCTACAACATACATCAGTTGCCTTTGGCGATAAAAACAGTAACAAATCTATTAGGAAAGCCAGGTTCAGTTGTAGTCCTCGGAGTTGGTATTCATTTTTTATCAAATGCGCAAAAAGTAATCAAGGACTACCTGAAACCTTTACTCGATTTAATTCAAGACCAAAGCGGTAACGGATGGCCATTGCTTATTTGGGCAAACATACACCAAGTTGATAATTTTCTCCCATCGGACTGCAAGAAGAATTACTCGCCGATTGAAAAGTTTAATCAAGAAATGTCGCGATTCTGTCGTGCTAACAATATTCCTATATTGGAGACGTCAAGTGTTACTCGGTTCATAAAGAGCAACGACGGTCTCCATTTTGGATACGGAGGAAATATGGCGAAAGTGCAGATACTTATGAATTATTTGAAGAATTTTTTTGAAGTTTGTGCGGGCTCAAGCTGACAAATTTTGGTGCTGCAGTTCTTAGTATCGAAATTAGGTTCATTTTCATATTCTCTTGACTGTTACACTACAGTTTCGACCTGAGCCGTTTTATGAATTGTACCTTAGCAATTATATTCTGAAACTAGGATGTGAAAACAGATTGACATTACATACCACCACAAAATAAAAAAGAAAAGTCCGATGATGACTTTTGTGCGATAAGAGGTAACCGTAGTACCCCTCCAGTCCCGCACCCACTAGAGAGCTTGTGTGTGCCGGAGCGGTTGGCCGAAAGGGTTTGGTGCTGACTAATTATATATTAATCCCAGTTCTCACTCCTGAATGAATACTTCTGTCCCGATTCCATTCCTCTCATCTACCAATCTCGACCCCAGAGCTCTTCTGCGCATGACCGCCAGAGAGAGCAGAGCTCCTTACTTGCGGAGTCAGATTGCGTAAGCACTGGGGTCGAGATTGCTCATCTACTTATTAGAGACCTTTAGATTCGAGGACGAGGACAACTAGGAGTACGAGATTTGACCTGAAGTTTTTTCGCGTCTTCTCAAAATATAGACTCCCCGGAAAGCTTCATTTTACTATTTTTCACTAGAAAAGTTAGCATTGTTATCTTTCTGAGTGAAGGAGGTTACGCGCTCTGCTGATCGCAAAATGATAAGACTTCTAACATTTGATATGTTGTTTTCTCCACCACGACATTCGCGCGAAAACTTGTAGTAGAATGACGACGGCTACCACGTTTTCCCGCCAAAATGACGCTGGTTCGTGTGCGCGCGTACCACTTAGGACTGAGAAAATCTCTTACTCGGCTCGCAGTCGTACTTGTCTTAGAATCTGAAGCTCTCTATTAACTTACGCTACAGTCCAAATACCTGTTCACACTACACCAAAGTGTGGCACAGAACCTATCCACTATGTGACTCTCCACTTTCAAGATCGGCGCCGCGCAGCGTCGCTCCGTTGCAGAAATCACGCAGAAAATCACCTTTCTTAATTAGGTGTGAACCAAAGCCCTATCCGGTATACTTTTTTGGATCAATTTAGGTTTATGGGGAAACTGCCCACCTACCCCTCCCCTAAACCAACATTTTGCCCTAAGTGAGAAAGAAGTGATAATGTTGGCTTTGGGGAGGGGTAGGTGGGAAGTTTCCCAGAAACCTAAATTGATCCGCTTTTTTTACCGGCGCAAGAGTTTTCGAGCTTTCCGCGGGTATAGCGTGAACACAGCCTTATAACGCTGGTTTTCACGGAGTCGTAATCAACAGCGCACTGCGTTATGATCTAGTGAAACCAGCTTTCCCATTCCGCGCACGGTCTAGTGAAAACTAGGTTTGTAGGAGTCACAATCATAAGCGGTAGAACTGAACCTTTCTCATTTCGCGGGAACGAGCAATGTGATAGGTTCATTCTTGAAAATACGTGGATTCCGAAATCTAGGGATTCGCGTGGATGGGGCCTCAAAAACCCACATATTACACCACAACATGTTCGTCTGCTTGCTGGACATTAAACACGATCAATCCTCATCCTATACCAAAAGTCTGACCTCGGGTTCTTTAGTCTGCATCGGCAGAGATGAAGTCAAACAGACAGCCTGGATGACAGGCCTAAAAACGGGGATGGGATGGAAGGGGAAGAAAAACGCGAAAAGGAAAAGGGATCCTTTTTTTCTCTCCCCAATCTCCTCTCCCTTTTTCCGTTCCCCGTCTCCCTCTTAGGCTAAAAACAAAGGACACATTTGAACCAAAACAACCTAGGAGTTGCATTGTTTTCTTTTTTGTGTCTGTTTAAGTAATCTGTGCAGGTATGTGTAGACTCCTGCAAAACAGTCGGTTTTTTCTCGAAATCGCTAAAGCGTGGCGTAAGAATCTTAAGCGCGTAAAGCGCACGAGCCTCACAGGCCTTACCAGTCGGTTTTTTTCTCGAAATCGGTACACCCTGGAGTAAGAATCTGAACAACTTATCAGTTTTCAAATAAAGTTTAACGATATTTTTCAAGGTCAAACTCTTTGATATCCACATCCCAGGGGCGCCTGCTTGAAAACCACACCCTTCCCAGAGGCTCAAACAAATATATTAATGCAAAAAGGGGTTCATTATTAAATGGGACGCAATAATTGTTCAGGTAACAGGAGCGTGTTTAGACATAGTAGAGGAGACTGGTTATGAGGGTGATGCTCGATATACCAAGCCAATATATGTCGTTTTGTTGTGTGAAGTTTATAGAGAGAAGTCGTTACGTCACGTTCCCATGGTAGCAAAATTTCTGGATGACAAAAAATCAAAACTTCACTTAAAAAGTGAATCCGCATTGTTTTAAAATTATTCGATATTGTTCAATTTCATTTAATTTGTCAAATGTTGCCAAAATTTTCTGAGGTTGAATCCGAAAGGACCGTATTTAAGCTTAGAAAAAGAAAAAGAAATTTTTGTGTTGTGTTTGCCTACTCCATAAAGCCGGCACGTCGTGTAACGGCGGCTGAGAAGTGTACAAAAAAGCGTGATGCACATCCAAGGTTGTCGTTTTGCTAATATAAACTTATTGCTTTTTAACTGTTCTCGTTGCCGTCGTTGCTGAAACTCCCTTCTGTTGTGATCCAGAAATTTTGCTACCATGGTAACATGACGTCACATGCCTTCTCTCTATTGTGTTATTGTGTGAGGGCTAGGGATCATTGTTGTATACTTTATGACGTCACTTGAGAGGCTATGAAAGCCGGCAAGCATCAAAGTTGAAAACAACGGTGCTGAAGTTTATGTTGGAAGCTCCTTGACCGTGCACAATCCTTTGTTTTCTGTTCACAAATTGTGACTGAATAAATTAATGCAATGTTTCTATCAGTAAGTAAGATCAAAATAATAGGAATTCTATTGAGCATTGTACACCTTTAGGTCAACAAAAGCTAACAAAAACTTATAACAAAGGAGTCTAACGGGTGTCATAGCCATTCCACTTTAATAAGTATGTTTTAGATTAGAAGACGAGACAACTGGAAAGAAAAGACTCAATTTAATCGTTACAATACTTTTATTATACAAACTTTCAAAATGTTGTTTGAGCAATTACGGAGATGAAGATGTTTCAGATTTTAATACAACGCTTTTCATAATATATACTTTTTGCAGATAAAAAGATTGGTACAAAATTACATTATCTCATTAAGTCAAAAGTAAATTACAGCTTACATGTTATGTGTATCAATTTCGTTCTATACAGCTACACATTAGCATTAGCCTGGGAGCGGCCTCATAATCTATTCAGCTTCTGAGGTTGAATACATGAATATGATGTCTTTCAATTCTGAAAGAGAGATGAAGAAACAATAATTAGTTGAAAGTAGGGCTTCAATTTAAAGATAAGTAAGGCCTGTAAGCATTTGTTGCAAGTTTTGCAGCCCAGGGGGAATGGGGGTGGAATTCTCCTTATAACAACCTTTACGGGGAGGCTCCACCCAAAAGGAGTAACTTTTTCAGGCTTCAGGTATATGAAAAGGGTCAGGTAGTTGAAGTTTAAGTAAGGTTTTTAATGTTCTCGAGAGAACCACAATTTAGTTTTCCTCCATAAATAAAGACTTAATGGGCAAGTGAAGTTCTAAAGAATATGCAGGGAAATGAGAAACAATGTATATTTACCTACTGCTTGATATTCCTTAACTGCAATCTAACTCATCAGGGTGTCCTTTGCTGTGTTTGCCCTTCTTGTTTCCCCATTTATCAACACACCAACACTTCTTCCTGTTGTGATTACACTGCATTGGCTTAAAGTAGCCATGTCTATTGCATTGAGGAATGTACTTGTTATGGTACAAACTAGGCAACAAAGCATTTAATACATGGGTTTGCTGAACTGCTTTTGAAGCTTGGATGCAGGGTCCTTGTAGTTGTTGCTGATCACCAATAGAAGACTGATGTGCACTGTGTCCTGGAAGAATGAAGTCAAAACCATTTCATTTAGAGGCAAATAATTGTGAATAATGGTAAAACGACTGAGCGGATTCCAATTCGGTCTGTAATCATACAAGTGATAACAAAATCAGACATCCACATAAGGAAGGGTCCGATTTGTTTAATCACGAGTATGATTACAGACCAAACTGGACGGCAAAAAGTTCTATAACTGTGACAAAATTTGTGATATTTTAGTCTTTCTTAAAAATTAAGAAACAAGAAATTTCAAGAGTTTTTTTGCTAGCAGTGAAAAAAAAAGCCATTTAAGTGTGCACATGCACACTGTCCATTATTACTTAGGCATGAAGCATACTGTCCGATTACACTGGCCTATAAGTGCTGAAATCAGATTTGAGAATTTTGTTATTTTGTCACTGGAATGGGAGAAACTTTATTTTTGCCCATTTTTGATCAACATCTTTTCTCCAGCAACATTATAGATAAATGTATTCCTAGTGAGCCACCACTGGATTTTCTTATTCTAAATTATTTTTCCTTCAAAACGTGTTAGTCATAACTCACCATGAGTACCTAAACATTTTTTCTCACATTCATGCTTGCTTCCAAAGCTGTTCTTATTTCCACGACAGCCTCCATAGATGAATTTTGTGCAATTATTCCATGTTTTATTGAAATACCATCTTGGCATATAAGCCATACAGGGACCAGGCTTAACTTTTAGGTTGCAGTCAGCAACTGTGAAGAAAAAAAGAGGCAACCAATGTTACATTTTACATTACATTTCCCACGTACAGCCTACCCGTCACATTTGAGGATTATTGGCTGGGTTGGTCAGCATAAAAAAAAGTTAACTTAATAGGCTAATAAACAGGTAGATGATTTAGGCAGCTTACATGGGCTTTAAAAGTATCTAAAGAGCAGTGTTCGCTAAAGACAGAAGCAGGCAAATTGTTCCACTGAATAATTGTTCTTGAAAAAAAGGATAGATACTCAGAGGACAGGCTAGTTTGAAGCGGGATGAAACTTTCTGAGTGCGAGAGGCGTGTCCTGCGCATGACTTTCTAGGGCATTAGCCTTCTTTTATGCCTTACAGTCACACCAGGTCAAGTTTACCCCCAAGATTCGATTATTGAATCACTTATTTGAAAAATGAATCCATTAGTTGATACGGCAACCAGTATCAAATTCAAATCTGCATTCCTGCATACTTAGCTATGAAGACTTCTATGTATTCGGTCAGATTGAAAAATCTTAGAATGAATTATTGCTTTGAAGACATTTACACAAAATTCAAGAAAACTGAGTGGCTAGAAATTTCATTACTACCTTGCGTGTGAATTCACTTCTCATTACGCATGCAGGAATGCAGAGATGAATCTGAAGTCTAAAACTACCAACCAATTTAACTTTTGAATAATAAATTCATAAACAGAATCCAGGAGGATACACTTGACCTGGCTTGACTGCAAGCAGCGTGCAAAGAAAGTAGTGTTCGATAGCCCAGGGCTGGTGGATTTTGCTATTGGGGTAGTGGATTCAGTTCTTAAATTGCCTGACAGGCAAGCAAATTACAGAAGAACGGTACTCAATCCTGCTCATCAAAAAATTTTATCGCGCTAGTTAAAATGCCTCTTGGGCTACTACATGGTAGCTACAGCTTACCCAAATAGTCTGGCCTCGGTCGGCGGATCTAAAATACGGGTCACTTTTCCACAGGTCAGGGTACAGGTCACCATGATACAGGTAAATGAATAGCATTAAAAGTGTCTCCTAGCCCTAATCTCTTAACAAAATGCTCTCTTAGTGTCTGGTTTGGTAATTTACTGATGGAGCAGTGACCTGTACTCTTGACGTGTGGAATGTGACCTGTATTTTAGACCTGGCACACCGTTCTTGATGCTTCAGTTACGTTTTTTCCCTGAATTTTTCTATGTTGGTGGTTAAGAACAAAAGCATTTCCCTCCTCTGAGAACGAAACTCTATTTTCATGTAAATTCTTCCAGAAAAAAATTCATTGTATTGACCCCCAAGATGGCCGCCTTGTCACATGACGGCAAACCAAGAATTCGCTTAAAACGGGGCTCAAATAAACAAACGCCTCCTCTTAACTGGCCATTCACCTCGTTCCCTTCTTCCTTGTCACTTGATCTCCCTGATTCGGCGGGCAAACACATTCAGCTTAATAAAAAAATGTAACATAGGAAATGTTTTGTACTAAGTTGACATATCCCTGAATCTGGTCCAACCCCGCTAAAGAAGGTGTTGTCCAACAGGTCAGAAGATTAACCGATTAACACGCTATAGGCTTCGGAGGATTTCTTGTGTACAAAGTAAGTCTTCAGCGGCAATTTACCTGAAAAACTGTCATCTTCGTCATCGTCCAGGTCATCGTCTTTGTCGTCTTCGTCGCCGTTAACGCCGCGTATCTTCACATACACACACAAAGAGAAGATGGGTTAGCACAATTTATCCAGATTACAAGAGAAATTGAATGCACAAATAAACCTAGAATGAACTTACGATTAGAAGGAGGAACAGAAAAACGAAATAACTGGTCGCCATTGTCTTTGTTGTTAAATGTTGCCGAAAGAGAGCGTCCTCCGCCGTTTTTAAGCGCGACATCGTGACGTCATCCAACTTCCGGAAGATTCGCCGGAAATGCCATTTTTGCGCCCAACGTCAGGACATGTCACTTACTATTTTTGTACCCATCGCATTCTTTAAAAACCGCAGTTTGAAGGTGCACCCACATATAGGCTTAAATTCTAACCTGGAAGTCAGAGCAAATATTCTAGCAAGACTGTGCGTGACTTTGGTCAACTAACCGTGGGCTATTTTGAATTTAAAAATTATTACACCCTCGGTCAGAGGAGTTTACCAATGTGAAATGACTGAAATGAAGCGAGTTGAAACCTTTTTTTCCGAAAATACACATCAAGAGGGCAGGCCTGTCAAGTGGGTAATTTTCCGATTTTCCCGTCTTGAAACTCATTGATCTTTGAGCTCTTTGAGAGGATACTTAATACACTGACCAAATGAATAGCAATTCTTTAGAAAAATATATATGAAAAAGAAACAAATGCCCTCTTCGCGTGGGTTGTAACCACAAGTTTACGTTGGACGTAGGTAAGAGTTTGTATGGGAAATTAAACATCCTCTGGTTCAACAGTGTGGTAATATGTCAGATGTGGCCTGGACAAAAAAACGAAAAGTCCATAGACTACTACTACAAAAACTGATCATAACAAGCTAACGACGTGTTTTGCGTTTTATAACAATATTTCGGCTGGCCATACCATCTGTAAACCTGAAGAAGGCTAGTATGGCCAGCCGAAATATTGTTATAAAAAAGCAATACGAGTTGTTGTGATCAGCTTTGCAGTGGTCTTTGGACTTCTCGTGTTTTTGTTCTTTAAAATATTTTAGTTGATTAGATCTCTTTTATGAAGATCCAACGTCGACAATCAGCAGAATCTTCGCCCACGGTTTTTGCAGTTATTTTCTTTATCACATGTAGCATGCCCGGCTCCTTCCCCGCTCCTTTCAACACCCATCACGCACTGTAGTCTCGATCGGAGGATTTTATACCGCGATAAAAACCTCATAGAATGACAGAAAGTAACACCAGGCCCCAGTCGTTTGAAAGGTGGATAACGCTATCGTGGACAATGCAATTGTTTTTTTCTAATATTTATCCGCTGGATAGTGGCGCTATCCAACGTTTGAAGGATCAGATGACATTATTGGTACGTTATTGAGGAATTCTAAATGGCCAGGAGCGTCGCGTCCATATACGCACATACGCACGGGCGTACATGTACCGGCTAAAACTTGAAAAAAAAATTTTACTTTCTGAAAAAAGAATTTTTTTAATCATTAAATCGGGATGACTGAAAATTTTTTCGCACTTTATTGATGTCTTTGTGTTAGCATTTCCTTTATCCTTTTATTATTCCGTAATTCTGATTGCGTCATTGGGCTTTTTTTCGTAAAAACTGTACCTTATCGACAACACTAGCGAGAAGTGAAAAAAACAACTAACTACTGCGTTTTCCTGCTTATTCATTTCCTTAAAATATCCTGCGGAAAACGCTGGAAATGGCATTTCCCAATTTAAGACCCAGACTCCCTAGGTTGGGCTGCCTACAAAACAACTTTTCTTCCCCTCGTGCGTTTTTTTTTTCAGAGTTTCTCGTCAATGATCTACATGATTTTTATTATTAAAAGGTGCATTTAGTCTATCTGTGTAGAGGTTCAACCACAGCTGATATTTATACACATTCAAAGACCCTTACACCCGGAAAGTGCTAAAATTCATAGATTTAATACAGGGATATGAATAGAACACTGAGGACTGCACTAATACAAACTTCAAGTATATTTATTTGGCTTTATCAACTGCCATGCAAATTAAACCGCCAGGTCATAACATAGGCTCTCCCTCCTGTCAAACATTTTCTAAGATTACTGGACACATAAAAATTGATACAAAAAAGCGAATAGTAGGTATAACAAGTAAAACAGTCAGCAAGAAATCCACTATCACCCCATATCATCTCCCCTGTTTTTCTTTTCACTGGGAGCATTGTTTGCTGATTGCAAAATTACAGAAATGGCTATAGAAACTATTTTTTCTTCACTTATCTATTATATGTTTGGATGATTTAAGGTAAAACGAGAAAAAAAGAGTTAATCAATTCTTCTCTGTAATTAATTCTTGCCATTTCAAAGCTCAGGGCTCTTCTTCTTGTTCCTCCTCTCTGGCTGGAGGGTCTGTATTATCCACTGCAGAAAAAAAAACGTGACAATATATTGGCTTTTAATTAACAACTAATTAACAATTGGTTCATGCATCAACGCGCATATGTTGAGATATGAAGGACGTGGGAAGTTTGGAGAGCACTCTAGAGGCTAGAGTTGCTCTCAAGGCAACCCTTACCCCTCTTTCGTGTTCTCCAAACTTCCCGCGTGCTTCATATCTTGACAATCACGCCGACGCATGAACGAATTGTTAAGTATACTGCAACAAGCCATCACCAAATGATGACCACTCCATGAGACTAGTAAAATCGCCCAGCTTTTGACAATACATTGCCCAGTGACATTGACATCAAGCTAAGAACCAAATATGTAAACTTTAAGGAACAGCAACAGAGAAAAATAACGCTAAAAATTTTTATTGGAAAGAAGAAAAAGAGATTACAAAGTGTTGGAAACGGGATAGCCTGAATCCCAGTAATCAATTTGTCCTAGTACAAAATAATTCCAGTTCATCAAAAAAACATGAGCAGTTGTGGTAAACTACTGTAGTACATGCAAGACCAAGTTGGCCACAATTCATCATTTTCAAACATTAGGAGTTTTAATTCAGGAAAACCAGTACTTTGCTCACCACATTCAGTTGCTCCTTCAATTTTAGATCCATGCCTGTCCACACACCAACACTCTTTGTTGCCATCTTTATCCACTGTTCTGCACTGACGCGGCAGGTAATAGCCATCCTGATCACAAGATGGAGTATAAGCCCCGGCGATTGGCTGTGGTTCTCCCCTCACAAGAAGATATGGCAAATTATTACGCAGCTTGTGGAAGCAAGGGGGCTCTGAAAGATAACAACAAGTAATTTACAGGCGAATATGAGAATTAGGTGGTTGACCAGGTCTAGCCGAAGGGAAGAGCGTCTCAGATTTCCTTTCATCTTGATTAGCAAATTGACAATGGCATTTTTAACAGGCAAATCATGGCGATAACTCAAATCATTGTACGCAGGTGGGGGCCTATAACGAGCATTTTGACACTGTTTCACATAGGGACTTAACCAGAGTTTAGTTTTGTCTGCGGAACAGGCTACCTCCAAGTTAGCCTCAGAAGTCTGAAACACTAACGCAGAAATTCCAAACTGATGGCATACGTCACTACCGAGATAGATCTGGGTAGTGCTTCTGAATGGTTGAAGCAAATTTCCCACAATTGGCACAACTTAAATCAGAAGCACTACCCAGATCTGGGTAGTGACACATCATCTGTCTGGAATTTCTGCACTTGTTTCTTAGACTTCATTTTGCAGGGAGATCAGTGATGATGCTGGCTGTTCTCTCACTCTACCTCAAAGTCAGAGTTAATAATTGCTAGTTCCACACCTAAGGGTAAATAACAAATGAATCAGCTGTTGAAAGCTTAGGTATTTATCTCCTTTCTGAACTCTAAGAGAAACTGCAATGTTATATTACAGGGAAGACTATTATGACAGTCGAACCTCCATGTACGACCATCTCTCTTAACTGAACATCTCCCATAAGCAACCACTTATCCAAAACAGCAGAATTTTCTCATAAGTAACCATCTCCTGTAAGCGACCGCTTACTCTTTACATTTTGGCTGGTGACTTACAGGAGGTTCAACTGCATAATTAAGCATAACTGTGCTAGGTTTCAGAAGAAATAAGATTTACTGAAGGAAAACAATGTGGACTTGACTCCTACCAACTGATTTAAAACAGCTGCAGAATTCAGGCTCTGTGAATGTTTCCTTTCCTTTGGAACATGTCTTGAAAAACTGTTTCATGCAGGGCTCAGCTTCATACAGGTCAGCCAGTTCGGTTTCATCCACTAAACCATCAGCATTATGATCAAACAACTGCCTGAACACTGTCCGGATTGGTTCTCGACAGCCTTGTTTTTTCAAGCCTGAAACAACAAAATTCAGTTGTAACAAGTTCAGACTATGCTCCCATCCCAATCTTGCCAGGATTCTCCCAATTTTGCTTGAAAATCTTGAATCACGATCAATATGCAATCAGGATAGGAAAAATCCCAATTTTGACATCTGACATTTTCAAATGAATTCTTATGATACTTATACACCAAACAGAGTACCAGAGTACACTTGCTGAAAATGATTATCCAGAAAATTTAAAAAACCCGCACAAAATATAAAAAAAATCAAGTACTTGAACAACAAGCCATGAAAATAATAATAAGCATAAAAATAGCAATTGATTATAGCAAACATTTTAGACATAAATTGTCTTCTCAGAACACTAGAAATGGCCTTCCAGAGCATAAAGATTTCAAACTTATCAGACTTCAAGTGTTGAAACATATATCATGAGTGAGCACAGCAAACAAGTGAAATGTTTTTTCAACAAAAGAAGAGAAATTTTGTAATGTAATATTCTAATAATTATTTTAAGAAATACCAAACCATTTCACTTTTACATTTTTTTGCTGTGAAAGGTACGATTTATTAAATAGCCATGGCAAGAAATATCTTTTCACGTATGAAGATAACATGTTAATTTCACTTTTTCAAGGAAATAGATCTACAAATTAAAATGATAAAGCAAACAGGACACGGCGAAGGGTATTACCATTAGATATGAGCAGAAAATTAAATGTCTCAATCTCACACCTGATGGGAAAGGCATCTTTGCTTCTTTTGGCTTCATTTGTGGAATCACCTCTCCAAGTTTGGGCAGTGGTAAACCTTTGGCAAACATTTCTTCTTTTACATGCGACGTTCGAAGAACGTGAAACCAATCCAACAGACGTCCTGGGAGCTCTGTGCAGTTTTCTGTTTCATTAAAGGAGATTGAACCATTACTTAAGCTTTTACCAAGTTCAGAACCAGCATGTCATGCAAGCTGTCCATGAACTGTAAAGAATGGCTAGCATTTCTTATTAAAGTCAAGTCTAGTAATGTAGCATATGGCTTTTAAAACACCCCATCGGTTGCTGCCGGTGGATTCAATTTATTCGCACTCGTAAGGTCTCATATCTCAATTCTCTGTTAGTATATTGTTTAGGACTAGTAAACAGGCAAATGGTGTTTAAACCAAAAATATAGTTTGAATGATGAAGTTGCCGCCACAAAGAGATTGAACTGTATAATGCACTAGTCAGTGGAAAGCCCCGCACCCCCACACCTGGGAAATGTGGGGCACTAGCAAGAGATTTCAGCATTTTTAGACTATTGCTTTTAACACAGTATGCAAGGATTTAGACAGTAACAGATGCAAGTATCAGTGAGCAGGGACCATCAGCGAGGAACAAAAGTGACATTTTGATATGCAAAATTGCTCTGCATAATAGGGAATTTGGTTCATTTTAGAAGGCAGCACCGGTCTAACGCCCCACAATTCTCAGGGTTAATGGGGGTGCGGTTTTTTCCACTGACTATAGTGCCTTTTCAGAAGAGGTATTCTGACCATCATCCATCCTTAAAATACACTATAAACCAACTTACTATTTTCTTTTGGCTGCTTTGTTAGATTTTTCTTAGAATGGTGCCAATGCCTCCACTTCAGCCCATTGTGCTTTCCCTGGTTTTGAAGAAAAGAAAACAATAATGACACCAGAGGCAGATCTCAGTGACAAGCGTCCAGCTCTTCCTCCATTGTTTTAAGTTCAAAAACACCATGATAATGTTCATTCTTGCAGGGGAGCCAAACTTCCCCATCCCCCCACCCATCCTTACCTCAAAATATGGATCTGTCACTGCAGGGGACCAATTTTATCTAGAGGGCCTAGACACAACATCATAGCCTACAGAGCTTACCTATCACGGTGCTGCCATGCGTGAATAAAGTCTATGAAGTATTGCTGGGCCAACAAGTCAGTAAGTTTATGGATGATAGACTCAGTGATGCTATCACTGCCTATCGTGCAAAGAATAGCTGTGAGACCACGCTGATTAGGCTGACCGAGACATGGAGAGCTGAACTAGACAGCAAGAAAATTGTCGGCATATTGTCTTCGGATATGAGCAAGGCTTTTGACTCTCTGAGCCCTCAGTTGCTCATAAATAAACTGCAAGCCTACAATTTCTCCGATAAAGCCATACAGCTCATACGATCATATTTTCAGGGAAGAAAGAACAGAGTAAGGATAGGTTCTGTAACAAGTGACTGGGTTGTGGTGAAGAGAGGATGTCCACAGGGAAGTACGTTTGGACCACTCACGTGGAATATTTTCCAGAACGACATGCCTAGCATAATATCAGATGCCAATGTCTCGATGTATGCGGATGACCATCAGGTCTTTGTAGCAAACGAAACAACCAAAAGCGTGGAGAAGATACTGGTGGACAATGGAGAGAGGATGACTAAATGGTATCAAGATAATCTTTTAAAAGTCAATTGCGATAAATATCAAGCCATGGTTTTGGGAAATCCAAAAGGAGAAAGGAACGTTGATCTGGATATATGTGGCGAAAAAAGCCGAACAGTCACAATCCATCAAGATCCTAGGTGTAAACCTAGATGAAAACCTAAACTTTAGAGATCATATAATGTAGTGTGTGTAAGAAAGTTGGCGGGATGATCGGAATATTAAGAAGGCTTAAAAATCTTATGCCAGTAAATGCCAAGTTACTTTTGTACAAATCAGCTATTATGCCACACCTTACTTATTGCCACCTAGTGTGGCATTTTTGCACGGCATCTGATAGTCGTAAATTGGAGCGTCTACAAGAAAGAGCCTTAGGATTAGTGTATAATACTACTACCGAAAGTTATGACACCTTGCTGAAAAGAGCTAAGTTGACTACTTTACAAAATAGGAGGTTGCAGGATATACTCATTTTGATGTTTAAAGTAAAAAACAAATTTACAGTGAACCAAATTGCGGATATTTTTAATATCAACGAGGAGAATATTAATAGTAAGAGATATAACCTAAGAAATGCAGATTTTGTCTTACCTCGGTTTAAAACTGTTACTTATGGAAAACATTCTCTCAGATTTCTCGGACCACAATTATGGTCTAAACTAAGCAAGGACGAGAGAAATATTGCAACTTTGGCAACTTTTAGGACAATGATACGTAAGAAGGATGTAACATCATTTCTTGAGGGATGTGGGAGTGAATGCCGCTTATGCTTAGATTAAGAGGACGTACGCATATTTACTTATTCATTTTAGTGTCCGAGCTAATATACGCATTTAGTTTTTATATTGTAAATTTTCGAACTTAGCTTCGAAGTGTTAAATCTAGAACTTAGTTTTTAGAGTGTAAAAGAGCACTTAGCTTGAATAGTGTCAATTTCCGGCCTTTACAGTACTTAATTAGTTTCTATTAATGATGTAATTTAGTTTTAAAGGTGTCCCCAATTAGTGCCAATAGGCACTAGAACGACAAGACACTTTAATAAAGGTTATGTATGTATGTGTGAGCATCACGGTGTTTTTGAAATTATGATGACCCAAAGAGTGTAAATGAAAAAGAAAAAAGTCAGTGGTATATTGTTCAAACTTCTCCTGCCATACCCCATACCAAAAGAGCAAGTCAGCAAATTACAAGAAAGCAACAACTGCCTAAACACTGGTCACCTCCAGATTAGTAAACCTCCACAATTTTGCCTTGCAACGGGCGGGAGACAGAGCTAGGGGTTTTAAAAATAAACTGCGCTTTGTGTGCAAATGGTTGCGCTACAGAGCAAAAGGGCGACTTCAAAACAGACAGTACTTTGGTGACTGAAACAATAAACGGACAGTATAATACATAAGAAGTACCGGTATGTAAGCTTACATACAATGATGTGAAAGTTATGGGTTGCCAGACATTATAAATGAAAATTAAGCTTAAAAACAAAATGCGAGGAATCCGTGGGGCATTTAAGGCTTGCAGGCTTCCTCGAAACCGACCGGACATGCAGTCGAATTGTGCTGAAAGTACAGACGAAAAATTGGAGAACGAACGCTTATGAGAAATTTTACTTTATTTAGACTAACCCAAAGTCGTAAAGAAAACGATCACACTAAACTTCACAATCTCAACACCGTGTAAAAATATTTGTCTTTTACGCAATCACGCGCGCTGAAGACATGAACAACAAAAGTATCATTCATTCGTTTGGGAGATAAATCCCTGTTCACCTAATTTAAAGAAAAAACCTAATTTAAGATCGCGGTAAAAAATCGAAGTTTGTTCGTAGAAAATCAGAAAACACTAATCAAAAATCAAGTCCATTCGAAACACAGTGAACCTTTCATAAACACGACAGCAACTCTCACCTTTTTCGCATGGGCCATTAATACTGCCAAGCAACAAAGAACTAGAATCCAAATTGCCCTCATTTTGGCTGGTTCCAAATCGTGCCTTTACCCTGCCAACTAAGGCAAATTTTAAACACGAGCTCGCCAGAAATTCAGAAGAAACTCTAGGCGAAACACAAACTGTCTTCTCCGCCAGGCAACCTCTTGCTGACTGTCACTGCTTTGTAACGTGAGAACCGCTTGGTATTTTCAGCAGTGCCACCCGATTGGTTGTTCAGTGAAAGAAGATTTTTCCCACCTAGGCGGCACCGGAAATTTGGGATTTCTCCACATTTCTGAGGTTTATCCGTGAATACAGTGTGCATCAAAAACTTGTGAAAACAAGCTTGTCGAAGAGGAAAGTGCAAGAAAGCTAAAAGGTCGTGGTAATATTTTAGCATCTATATTTGAACAAGCACTGGCAACGTGTTCAGTGCTTTTCGTCTGCTCAAGTTTCAATTCTTTTCCCCTGCGGGTGTCAAATCTCCCTTGGGGATATCGGAAGTTTGAAAGCTGGTGTCAGACATTTTTTCGAACAATTGCCGGTAAAATGTACCATTTTGCCCGTAGGTCTTGTGCCTATGCGTCTACATCCTAAATTTTGGCTATTTGTAGTTCTTGAATTATTTCACTGAATTATACATTTAAAAAAAGTTTTTTAAAATAAACGACCCACATGCACAACTCTCAAAATCGAACGAATGCCGGAGCGAAAAAGGCGGCAAATAATGAAAGAAATACAAATGAATGCTGGGTAATCTGTGCCGTAGTATTTCAGCGGTCTTACTCTGAAGGGGATATGAAACATGGCGTCTTTCTTTGTAGGAAGACTGTTGTGGTTGTAAATCTTTCATTTCCGTAGTAAGATCTTCCTTATTTAATGGTATTGCTGGTGCAACCTTAAGAAAATGTGTCGTAACTGTGCTTTACCTGAATGGGGGGAACCTGTGAAAATCCCAGTCGCAGAACTGCCAGCGTTTTTCTCCAAGCAGATCAGCTGGAATTTCGAGCGCCTAAACTACGGTGGAGGAGCAGTCATTGAAACCATTTCAGGTCGACCAGAGCGCCCATCGGTGACTGGGAGACTTGGCTGTAGGCTAAGGGAAGGTATGCAACCACCAGCTAGAGGCAAACGAACGGAGAGGTACCTACTTGTCAGCGAATGTTTGTATTGCCCAGGGAAACGGTATGGATGTACCCCTCGAGCAAACTGCACTGGGAAGCGCCGGAACTGCTATGCAATGTGCAAAGTGACGGTGTACGCTGATGCGTCTGATTTGGCAGAAGTTTCCTTCTCGGGCAGCCACGGAAGTGGTAATGTTACCGATCCATCTTTACACAGAGCTCCTCATGAAGGAAAACGGAGAAGATTGGATGATGATAATGATCAAACACAGGTTGGCAAATAGAAAAAAAATCGTCAAACGAAAATATTAATATTACAATACGTTTCATTTGATCACCTGAACACTAGAGCAATGGTGGTCTCCAGTAGATTTAATAAAAATATCAATTATTTATATTTAAGTTTTTACTGAGAGCCAGTAAATAATCTAATTACATTATCATGATAAGATTATTATAAGTTAGCTTATATGCAAATCTGGAGCAAGTTCAGAATATCTGGGGGAGGGGGTATCGGATAAGTTGATCTACCCAGAAAATGAGCAAGTGTGACTTCAACAAATAATAAACTGAAGGTAAGCAAAATGCTAAAAAATTTCAAATTATGTATTAAGAGGCATTTCATCACAGGGGCATGAAATACCTGTCTCAAGAAGATTTTTATTCTGACAAATTCCAATTCAGCATTCTCCTCAGGCTTATCATTTATTCCGCCATTTTACTGTGGATAACTTTCCACAGTTTTGAAATATTGTGTTTGATCACCTCTATTTCTGCCATATATGAAGCCAGTTGACAAACAGGCCAGTGTTTCACGAAGGTCATCAATACTGTTTTGGTTTGAAATTTGAGCATTGATATCCTTGCTCTCCAATCCCTGTGCTTGCAAAGTACCACTGTTGAGAAACAGAGTACTGTAATGGTAGTAGATTCAGATGTTTTTTAAATACATTCTCCATTTATCGTGATGCACAATGAAATTTAATGTATTGTCAAAATGTAACTCTAAATGTAATGGTGTGTTTGTTTTAATTCGTTTCTCAGATACATTTCATCTCATTGTTCTGAAACATTTTTTTTATTCGACTTATATGCCCCCCCGCCCCCACCAGATATAAGTCCCACCGTTTATAAGTCCACCCAAAACCCCTCTTGAAGAACTTTATATACCTTTAATTTGGGAATTTAAAGTATTCTCTTAGTTTCCAGGTATTCTGAAGTGTGGCTGAAAAATCAATAAACTAATGAGTGATTTATTATAAACATCCATAATACTCCTTTTTTATTAGCTCTATCCCATTTAAATGATCAGACTTTGGGATTTTGGCTTTGATCTTCTGATCTGTTTCTAGCATGAGACAAACAAAACGGCAGCTTAAAGATTAAGAACAATAGCCTTTTACTGTTAGCTAGCATGACCTGCATATTAATATGGTAGATGAAGTGTTTGACTTTTCAAACATGCTCTAGTCATGGGTTGCAAGTGTGACTTGCATGTATGAATAATACTGGAACTTGTATTTCATTTCCTTTTCATAATGTGCTGCCTCCTTATACCGTGTATGAGAGTATGTAAGTTTTAAAAGAAATCCTGACCTTAACCGTTATTTCTTTAGAGATGGAAACAAACTGATCGACCAACTATGGTAGAGTCTCTTAGCTCTGATGGGATTGGCCTTGATCGTTCCAGCACGGAGGTAGTCACATTAGAAGTTGGCCAGAATATCATGCTGACTGGAAATAATGTGGAATTGCTAAACACACATCGCTCTTCAAATTCACCAGATGTTGTGCTCTGGACAACATCCTCTGGGGAACAAGTCAGTACTTTTCAAACCAGTAACGGCACCGCGGGAAGTAGTCCTACAACCCCTAGTACACCTTTGAATACACCTTTGTCATCAGCAGCAGTAACACCACAGTCCACTGTTCAGAGTGGTTTACGAGGGGCACAGGCCAGGCAGCCTTATACACCTCCGGGTAGATCTCCTCCTGCATTGACTAAAAGCTCAGGACCACAGTCCTTATGGATATCACAGCCAAGAACAGAATTCAAATATTCAGGAACAAAGCTACGTGCAAATCAGGTTTGTTACTTTTCTGGGCACTTAGTTTTCATGAAACATAAGAGATAGATTTCACAATTGAATTTTGTTGTTTGGTAGAAGAATCATGTGAACTCTAATGAAAGAACAGGTCTTAGAAATAGCACTACAGTTTTTCATAAGTATTAAATTTTATAGTCACTTCTCAACAAAACTTGCGTTTTGTAAAACACTTTTTGTGTTTGTGTTAGCACTGACTGCCTTATACCAGAAGTGTGGGAAGGAACATTTTAATTTAAAGTGCAAAATTTCAAGAAAGTTTCAATAAAATGAGTAACAATAAGACACACGCGCTCCTAGGATCCAACGTCTAGTATCATAAAAGAATGTACAATACCGGTATTTTTCACCTGTGGTTTGCTAGCTTAAAAAGTGGAGCACTGGAGTACTTTGCCAAGGCTGTAATTTAAGGGAGGGAGGAAAAGAAGCCCAGTGCTCTGAACCTGTGAAAAAACATTATGTGAGAGTTCCCATCACATGGTTCTTATGCCAAAAACTAAGATTTTGTAGTCAGCTAAGAGCAATAAATAAGCGACCAGGGACCAGTCCTGCTATATGACTTGCCAAGAGTAAGTGGTCTTGTCCAGTTTAAATGTGTTGTAAATGTACGTTGATAATGTTGAAGTAGCAGAAAAATACATACTTAAGTTAAACTGGATAAAAAAATTGATTTCTACACAGTATAATTTTCAATCATTCTGAATAATGTCCTTACACAAAACAAGTGATGTTTTTCTATTTTTTTGATATATTTTTTCATTTGTTTAATGATACAGAATCAAGAGAAAGAACAGGAAATCCTTACCATGAAACAGCACATTCATATCCTCCAACAAGAACATCTAGCCAAGATTTCCCATATTGCTGAACTGGAAGCACAGCTACAATACCTCAAGGTAATCACTTGAAGTGTACTCCAACCTGTTTTCCAGACTTTTTACTGTTAATCAGTGAATTTGTCCCTCTGATTTCCTCTCAAAATAATCCTTCCTGCTAATTAACCCATTTTCTCCTGGAAATTTTGCCGAAAAATGCTGTTTGTAGCTAGTCAGGCATCTGTAGATAGTTTGGTCGCTTTACAGCCAAAACAAACCCAGAATGCCCAAAATACTGTTTATAAGTCAAGCACTTCCACCTTGCAGCCTTTTTTTTCTGATGCTAAATATCAGCTTCTGAAGTTCAGGCATGTCCAGAAAGCAAAATTTTGTAATAGTTTTTGGGTTTAAAAGTGACACAGCAATACTGACTTTAGACTGTCCAACCTTTTGAGTATTAAAATTGAGATATCTTTTGGTGATTGAGGAATCATGTGAGCACCAAAGGGCGAGCCACTAGCGGGAGTCTAGGGGTATTCTCCCCCAGAAAATTCTGAAATCTTGATCCTCTTAAATGCCATTTCTACTGTTCTGAGAGGACAATTTTGATTGTCATTTTTATGTTTATTTTTATTTGCATGGCTTACATGAACAAGTACTCGATTTTATTTTCTATTTCGTGCGTTTTTTAGAGTTTTCTGCTGATTAGTTTCTGGGTAAGTATATTCGGAAATACAGATGTATCATAACAGATGTCAAAAATGGGATTTGTCCCATCTCGATCACATATTGGTCAGGATTCAGGACTTTCAAGCAAAATTGTGAGAATTCCAACATAATCAAATTGGGATGGTTGGACCCTCTGCAGCTTTCTCTTCTCTGCTTCTTTCATTTTTCTAATCCTCCTTTTTTATTGCCTGGCACTTACTAAGGCTTCATTTTGGTGGGAAACCTTTTTGAGAAAACTTTTACTCGGATTGTACAATTGTACGGAATAAAGTGTGGGTGGGTAGCAGGACAAGATTTTCATTGGAATTTTTTGAGTCAACTTTATGGTTCTTTGCCTTTTTCTTTAGGAAGGAGAAATATACAGACTACAGCACCAAGTGCAGAAATTAGAAACTGAAAATCTGAAAAAGGATGTAAAAGTTCTTCAGCTTGAGAAGCAGTTACAAGCAGCTCTATTCTCAAGAACACAGGTAAGCACAAACATTGTGGTAATCAGACCTTCCAACTCTCACTATCCAAATCTCATGGTAAATCAGAAAATCTTGAAATTGCCAGACAATTCCATTAGGAATTGCCTAATTCCAAAACATTTGTCTTCATAATGGACAAATAATGTATCAGTCTAAGTTTGGGGGGAAATCTGGGTCTAATCGCAACCTCATTCCCATGCAACGTGAATTAGCAAACTTAAAATGGCTACTCCCCATCCTATCGATGTGGATACTGAAACAAAATCTCAAACTGACTCGGAGACTTTGGAACCTCAGCTTCTAAAGAAAAGAAAACCAGCAGCTGGCCGCAGCCAAATATCCCAAAACATTTAAAAGTAATAACTTGGAGTAAATTGTATCTAATAGGGTAAAGAATACCATATGACAAAAACAATATCCGTTTTTGGTTTTATTTGACACCTATTTTAGAAATCTCCAGGTTTGAGGTCCCAATCTCCAGACTTTTGGGGGCTTTTTTCAAACACTCCAGATTGGCATCGTTTAGAGGTTGGAAGGTCTGGGTAATACATGATACCACAAAATTAATTTATTTTTGTCTGTTGTCTGCGTCAGTAAGCTGATTAGTTGTTGCAATATATTGACAGTCAAACTTCTACTTATAGACACCTGGGTGTAAACAATTAGGCCATTTACGGTGGACATGTACAATTTTGTGACAAGAGCCCAATTTTAACAGCGATTTTAGTGTAAACTGTGTGCATTACAAACAGCTGTACACTCCATGATACATACAATGGCTTTTGAAAAGCAACAAAAAAACATACTTTAGATTCATTCTCCAAGGTCTTGGCAAACTGTAACCTATAGTTCATGAGCAGTATTTCCCCATAGGCTGGCAATAGCACCGTCATAAATAATAAAACTGAACATTTTAGTCCTCCCCTTTCCCACCCAGTCTTAGTCAAAGACACTTTTTAACAGTTTTTCAGTACAAAATTGAGTATTCCCATTAAAATTTCAAGACAAACTGTACAAATAACTCTTTATCACTCCACCCCTTTAAGAACCAACTGACACCACTGAGCAACATGTGCTCAAATTTACTTTTTCAAAGTTAATATTTTTAAAACTGCTCCTACACTACAAAGTTGGACAAGCTCTGCCTGTAACTTATAATTTGCCCCAGTCATGTCCAATACTGCCGCACTGTTTCTGACCAAGAGCAGTTGACAGATAATTGTATGGTCCATACAAACCATCAACATTGCTAGCACAAATACAAAGCGTGCATCTCATTATTACATCAGGGCACAGTGTGTTACGGTTCATATTATCTGTACAGTTTGTACGCTTGATTGATACAGGCCATAAATTCCTTGTTTTATAAGCCATAAACCATAACAAGTGGGCTCCAAAAGTAATATTCCTTGTGCTATAAGCCATAAACCAAAACAGGCACACTTCAAATGTAATATTCCTGTTGTTGTTTGGTTTTGTAGCAATCCCCCAGCCCAGTGACGGTACTTGTACCACAATCTGGGTGCGAAGCTGTCCCTTCACATCCAGCCATAAGTAAACATAATGAAGTGGAAACATCACATGTGGAAGGCGAAGAGAAAGATGAAAATGACGTAGAGGAAAAAAATGAATTAGAGGAAAAAGAAGCAGACAAAGATGATGACAATGGTGATGATGAGATGCAAAGCACAGAAGAAGTTTAACTTACGTGCATTTTTTGAATTTTTTATTTGTTGTGGTTCAATTTTATCTTTGGTTTAACTTTTATTTTTCTTTGTTATTGGGTATGGTAATGTGTGATAATGAGTTGAAAACAAAGGAAAATAAAATTTAAATCAATAATAAAATTCACCACAACATATATTTTTTGCAGCTCTTAAGAACAGGTTGTATGTTGTTTTTTATGAAGTGACCAAACTTTTAATTTACTTGTACATTGTGATATTGTAAGTTTAACAGACTGAAGAGCAAAATGACATACCGATTCCTGCACTCTCTTCTGTACCTTCCTCAAGCTGTTTAATAAGGAGAATTTCATCGAAAGTTCAAGGATTTGTATCCCTGGGGGTCATTTGCTTTTCATGGGATGTATGTCTGATTCTACAACAGTGACATTTCAGGGAAAATTAGACACCGGCCAGTGTGTTAAGAGTTAATTCACCCATTGTGACCAGGTACTGCACTATGAACAACACAAATCAAACTTGTTTTAGTGTTCTTATTTGAACCTGGCAAAGGCCAGCAGTTAAGCATTGCAACAGAAAGATAAGAAGTGCCTGTTGGCCAAGTGTATTCCTTTTTCATTTGTTACTGTTGTAAAAAGAAATGAAACAGTTGATGGAATAGTTATGTGTATTTTCATTTGATAAGATTTTACTGTGGAACCCTTTACATTTTTAACTAACGTAGAAATGAAATTGATATATTATGCTAAGCCATACCTGTTCTGCAGCATTCATTGTGTAGTTCCAGAAAATATCTTTACTCAAAGCCCCACCCCTCAATGGGGGTTTGGAAATTCCTGGGGAGAACGGGTCTTGGAGACCATAAAAAAATAAAAGAAATGTATAAAGCTTATAAACTGGAATCTCCACGGGGTAGGGGGTATTAGAAAAATTTATTCCAATCCTTGGGGAGGATTAGTTACTTTTTGGAACTACACCTAAACTAAACTCTTACTGGCAAATGATGACAAACGAAATAACCATCAGCAGTCATTGAAAACTGCATCATTAGTGCATACCTTTCTTCTAGAATGTTTGTCTGAATTTTCTCTTACCAAAAGTTGTTTTGGGTAGTGATCACAACTGGCCTGTATTTAGCCAGTTTTGTTTTTCTCTGACATGAGAAATCCTGCTTAGCTACTTGTGTTTGTAACCTGGTCTGTGGCTTTACTATTTCATTTTTTAAAAAAACTTTTTTCCTTTTACATGGATTGTCAGCAACGTCATTTATATGACTGTTGGTATATTGTTTCGGAGTATGTTGTATTACTTTATTTGTTCAATGCATAAAATGCTATGTTCAAACTAGACATCATAGTAAAAACACCATCCCGGAAACAGCTAAATCAAAACAGGTTGCTTTGGTAATTGTTCATTGGGCATTTGGAACAATGCAATGATTTACTTGAGTGACCACTGAACAATGGCTTCCCAACGTGCAATTCCCAATGCCCAAAGAAACCTTTATTTGTATCAGCTATATAAAATATTTCATTCTTCAGTATTCCAATCTTTCACTTAACCTTCCTTCAGATGGAGGTTGTTAAAAGCCCTCTTGATAATAGAGAAAAAAAAACTGTTTCTTTAATCTTCTGACTCTTGTGTTTTGAATAATAATATAAGAATTCTTGTCTAACATGTTGTAGGTCATGGTTTTTATTATCTTGTCTGCCTCAGATGCAACCGACATTGTTTATTTCCTAAATAATTATGGTCCTTACGTTTTTTAGGAAGAGGGAAAAGTCATTGCCCACAGGGTAGGTAATAATTTATCATTCAATGAGAAAGAAGAAGAAAAACCCCCTCAGCTCTTCCCAAGAGCCTAACCCTCACAGATTTTTCCCCAGCAAGGAGCCTTCTCCCAGGCTACTGCATTATAAGGGACATTAAATAACAACAACGGCGACATGACTGAGAACAGCAAAAAAGCAATAGGTTTGATATTAAGCAAAACAATTTGCACGTTTCACACTTTTTTGTACATTTCTTTTCTGTCACTGCACGACTCTGACTCTGCCTAATTTCATGTTTTGTGCAGGACATGAACACAAGATGACTTCCTTTTTCTTTTCCTAAACTTCAAAACACTAAGTCTTTTAGAATTCAAGATGGAATAAGAGCAAAGAAGTTTAAAGTAGCACAAATTCACTTTGTAGGTCATGTTTTTGTAGTCGTTGCCATTGTTGTTGCTTAAGCTCCGTATTTACTTTATAGGGGAGGTTGTACAAAGAAATGATCAATTATTTGTTTTTAAGTAATATGATTGTACATGCATGTAACTCACATTTTAGTAGTTTTATTAAATATTATTATTTCAAAGACATATGGTGTTGATTTTTCCCTCCTGTTTATCCATTTAAGCTAGTGTTTATTTTAGAAGGGGTGTTTGTTATGAAACCCTCCTGTTTATCCTGAAGAAAATGCTAAATCTGTCCCTCAAGCCCTTCCCTATGATGCAAACCCAGAGCAAATTAAGGAAGGAATGAAAAGAATGCAGTCTCAGTTCCCCATGTCATTAGACTACATGTACAAGTACCAATGAGGGCACAATGAACTTTTGGTTGGGGGTGGGGTTCGTCTGCACCCCTAAACCCCCCCTCTCCCCCAAGCCCTTCCCACATGCCCGATGACCCCATGTCATTAGAACACTTAATGGAACAATGAACTTTTGGCTGGGGGTAAATACCCTTGGAACACTTAGGAACCTTTCTAAGGTTAAATAGCACGTAAACTTTGAGGCAGAAGACTGTGAAAAGAGACTAAATACCACTGTAGGTTCCACATTCTAATCTTCAGTGTTGTTGTCACTAGGGTTAACCTCCTTTCGAGTAAAGAGGCCTGGCTGTACAAATGATAGTACCTGCTTAATACAGGGTGTCTGCTTAATATAGAGTTTTTCACTGTAAAAAGAAGAAGTCTATAAGGTGTGCCACCACAACAATTTCTGAAAAAAATAACACTTCATTCTTGACCATTGTATCTGAAAAGATTGAGCACTGTAGATATAACTGGTTTTTAATATTCTCTCTTCAACAACACTGACCTCCACCAAATCTTTAACAATACCGAAATAAGTTGACTTAACTGAGGAAAGCTCACTGATGTATCTAAACTTTGATTTAGTTAAACAGCCAGTTAGATTTCACAAGTTTATTTAGTTCCCTTGATTCCTCGAGGCTTTGATCATATTCCTGCCACCAAATCTCTCTCTCTCCAGAAACAGCTGAATTGGAAGAAAAAAGAAAATTGTATTTTTCTGGCCTTGGGCAACCATAATGCACCTGTGAAGCAACAAATTGATTTTCTGTAAGTTGTGATGCCTTGCGCTTGATATTTTCATGAATTCTATCACAAACAAAACACTCAAATCCTGTAACATAATTTTGTTCCTCAAAGGAATGCCCCCAAGGGCGTTTTCTCATAGTGCTTAAAAGTCTTTTATTGATAACACCCTTCTCTTTAAATTCTAAGTATTTTGAATATTCCTCATTATTATTATCAAGCCTTTTGATGAAATCAGCTAAATCCTTTGGATTTTGAAAGTCATCAACAAGTATTATAGAATGATTATTTGGCATCCATTCTTGAACAGTTGGTGATCCTTTGTAAATGGGCACAGACCCTAGTATAAGTGGTCTCCAAAGCTTCTCAGTAATATAGTCTTCACATAATGCATTCTCAAATGACAATGTAAATTTATATTTTGCAATGATGTCCTGAAAACCTTCATTGTCCATAGTTAAAGGATTCTTGAACTCGTCTGGAAGGTCTTTATTATGCAAGCAAGCTCCATAGGAATCTACTTTGATAAACTTCATCAACTCTGAAACATATTCATCTCTGTCTGAAGGCGGATTACACCCACTTTGAACATACACCACTGATGCCAGACCGCTTGTGCTCTTCTCATGAATGCTGTATTTGGGTTTTTTCAAAAGCTCATCTAAAGATGAAAGCATTTGAGTAACCAAAGGATAATCGGAAGATCTGCGGAAGGTAGCAGTATGGTTGAACAGTTCTATTGTTGTTTCATGGTGAAGAATTGGGTTATTCTTAGGTGATTCTTCATGGAACAAAGCCCATTCATGGTGTCCTGTTCATAAAAAAAACACACAATGTCAAAAAAGGCCGTTTATACAGGAACTCAAATCATCACTAGCCATTTACTTGATTTGCATGAAGCTTTTCTTTTAACATATCTGCATAATAATCAAGCATGCACAAATGCCATCTAATTTATTCAAACTTGAACTCTTTTGACAACTTTGACACTTAACGGTTTCCATTTGTGATAATGATGTGCCAAACATCGAAACATTGGATAATGTTCTGCAGTTTAATTTTTCTTGTTATATGTTTTTTAAAAAAACACCATTGTCACTAAAAAAAAAAACAGTCAAACTGGTCAGCTATAAGAGGAAATTTTGGAACCAGAAAAGGTGTCCAAATACAACAGGTGTCTGCCTAAAGCTAACTGAGGTTCAAAAAGAAGGGATGTGCAGGGATGCAGCTGAGAAAAGGCCTAGCAGAAATATCTATAAGTCAAGATGGTTTTTACTTGACTGCACCTTCAAAATTACCCCATGTGCTAGTGATAATTTTATTGGTCCCTGATGTATAAAAAGTACCAAAGACGCAAAATAATTCATGGCATGCATCCTGTGGGACGCAAAGTTCAATCAATCAATCTGAAGATGTTTTTCTAGAATATCCTCTTCATGTTAAGTGATGGTTTGAGTTCCTTGGGAAGCAAGGGATGACGCAGTGGTGAGAGCACTCGCCTCCCACCATTGTGGCCTGGGTTCAAATCCTGGCTTCAATGCCATAATTATCAGGGTTGACTTTGTTGTTGGTTCTCTCCTTTGCTCCAAGAGGTTTTTCTCCGGGTAATCCAGTTTCCCCCTCTCCTCAAAAAACAACATTTCCAAATTCCAATTCAACCATTTATTTATTATGTGATTTTGTTGTGCTTTACTATAGAAGGAGTTTTTTACTCCAGTAAACTGTAATACAGAGTTTTGGAATCTGTGTTCAGATTATTGTCAGCATGGTTACATAAAGGCCCAAACAAACTGAGGTTAATAGGATTCATTGTTTTCTGAACTGCGACACAATGGTTCTGGGCTGGGACACATGATTTTTTTGCAAGTCGAAGGACTCACCATTTTCCTGTTCCGTTTTATGAATCTAAGGTTTCTATCTGCCTTGAAAGCAACAGTTTGGGACTTGTTCAAAAAAGGGGGTGAAAAAATATTCATTGTTATCAGGGTGCAAAGAAAGTCAGTTTTACAGCCTGCCATTAGGGCAAGCTGTAGATAACATATACTGGCCCACAAGTCATTTCAACTAGCCCCAAAGCCCTTTTTGATTGGCAGGATTGATAACAATCCTTCTGTAATTTGAATTTCCCCAAAAAACAGCACTTGCCCGTCGGGCAAGTTAAGAACAAAAAACACTAGCCCGATGGTAAAATCCACTAGCCCCGGGCTGTCGGACACGACTTTCTTTGCACGCTGGTTATACTGTGGGTCTTTATCATTTTGTAATTCTACTTCATCTACATATGGATCTGTATGACATTAACATTTGAAAGGTTAAAACTGATTAATAAAGATCTTTCTTCCTCAACATCAGAAAAGTGGGATATAAAACAACTTACCAAGTCTTGGAAGAGGTAAGTCATTTGATGTAAAAGTTGTGCCATAGAACATAAAAGCCTTGGTCCTGGGATGTGTCTGGAATTTACGAGCCTCTGTGATGTAACACTCACCAAGTGTACACTTCTTTATTGAATTTCCACCAGTAAAGGCAGTCCACCAAATGATTATGGGTAATTTGTGTTTTGCAGCATAGGCAGCTGGTTTTTTAAGGTTCTTCAAAGCATGGTCAACATCATCATAAAAGACTCCTTCTGAAAAAGAAAGAAAGAAATAATGTGGATTGATCTATTTTCCTGTTTATGTAGGTCAAGTTTCTCTATGGTAAAAACACTTGCCAGTGATATAAAAGGTGAGCTTCACTGCTTGACAACTCAATCACAATGATCCTCTCTCCAATCCAGGCACATTTCCTGGTGGAATTGTAGTGAGGCTGGGGGTGGGCGACATCTTTGGGCACCAACGCAACTACAGTTTTTACCTTCAAACTTCCAGAGTTTGTTCCAGAAACCCCTTTTTCACTTTGCATCCCAAGACAAATCCCTCCTAGCAAAAATGATTCCTAGATCTGACCCTGCATTTTATTCCATATACAAAGTCAGTGGGAGCCGGCAAGGTTGTCAGAAAGTTTTAAAGTAGACAGCTGAGGTTGTCAAAGTAAGCGGCCAGTCCAGGGATATTTTATTTAAAAAATGCCATCCATAAAGAAATGCCAAGCAGAGTAGCTGGCTGATACTAACCAAGTAGGCGGCGATTTTTTTTGCCTTGGGTAGCAAATTGCCAGGGGTTGAGACTCTTGAACTGTCAAATCCCCTGGGGTGGGGACAAAAAAGGAGGGCAAGTGCCCCGTCCTCCATCAACGCTACAAATTTATTAATTGATCGCACAGTCAAATAGTGCTGTTTTAAGCATTTTAATGAGCGATTTTTTGTTTCAATTAATGTCTTACTGATGTAAAATTGTTGACAATAAAATTAATAGAGTGCTGTAAAGTTATATGTTATGAATGAATAGTTTTATAAATATGAAAGGATGCTTTTCAAATAATATCAACTGAAATTTGATTCAGTGACCAAAAAAACGAGGATCCAAGTCGATAGCTCCCGATTTCGCTATGTAATTCTGGTTTGATAATCAGTGAAGAAATGCGTGCATAAAATCAAGAACATGCCTTTACAACCCTCTTCAATTTTTTTCTGCCCTTGACAGGAGAGCCAATCTGCTTTCCCTCCCAGTAAAATCCTCTGTGTAGTTATATTCTGATAGGAATTAACCGGAAACCGCGTGCGTGTCAAAAGCTTGCGAATGGCCCCGGGGTAAGCAAATGCCCGGCCACCGGGAAGCACAAAATTAGCAAATGCCCCACCCCCGGGACTGACAAGGCAGGCAAATGCCCCGCAGTAGCCCGGGGGGGGGGGGGGGGGGGGGGGGGCACTGGACACAGCTAGAATTGACTGATGCATTACGAGTACAATTCAAGTACACAGTAAGAGGCCAAGGAATTATAACATACAACCGCAACTGGTGGGAGGGGGGGGGGGGGAGAAGTGATTTGCCGTAAAAAAGCTCAACAGTCCTTTCTGAACCAAAGTTTGGACCCCCATTCCCCCCCAATCAAAAATTCCTGGATCCGCCCCTGAAAAACTTTCTCTTTACTGCACCAGGAGCCCATATAAACCCCTGTCAAAATCAACAATTCGTAATGTCTAGAGCAAGCACACCTTCTGAATAACCCTCTGTCCAATTTTCGTCCACTTCAAGGAAATCATATTCCTTGCCCGGTTCATCCGAGTCATCCTTGAGTTTAATCACGTCCACTCGAGCAGCAGCGTCATCAAAATGTAATTCTTCATCGGAGAAGCTGTAGAAAATTTCACCGGCAAATAGCACAATCAGAAGAACCAAGCAGGAGCCCAAAATTACTTTGTAGAAAGAGATTCGAAAACGCCAAATCGCCATTGATTGGAGGATAAACGCATGATCGCCTGGGTGCGAAGTGAATGGCGGGAAAATGAAGCTATCTTCCTTACGCTAACGCTGATTGGTCATTTTAACAATAAATTGTACTTAAACCAATCAAGCGTTGTTTTATAACAACACTCGACGATTGTACCACGTTTTTCGAGCAGGGTTCGACAAACTGAGCTTGCCTTTGACGGAGTTGGTTGGGTTAGGTTTGTGTGAGTCAGCGAAAATACACCCTGTAATGCCTCCAAAACTTAAGTTTGGAGAAGGTGAACGGATTCTTTGCTATCATGGTCCTCTCATTTATGAAGCAAAATGCATGAAAGGCCAGTTAAAGGACAAAGTTACCAAATATCTTATTCATTACAACGGCTGGAACAAGAACTGGGACGAATGGGTTCCAGAAAACCGGGTATTGAAATTCAACGAGGCAAATCTACAAAAACAGAGAGAACTAAGGGAGCAAAACTTGTATGTATTTCCAAAGTTTTCTAAAGAAAGTACTATATTAACTCTTGTTGTTGATGGGTGGATAGATCAGAAACTGAAAAAAGAAATAAGTAGTTCCGATAATTATTTTGATCAACCGGCGAAGCCACGTGCGTTTCGTGCCCTTTGCAATCCATGAAGCCAACATTTACGACAGTTAAAATTTGTTTGCAGTTTACATGTTAACACGATATTCTTTTGGTGAAAAGTGAAATTCATTGGCAAAATGTGTTTGTTGAGCTACAAGTATTTAATCTTGGGGTGCCTTGTTTTGTGGACTTAGTTTATTTTCAATTATTGGTAAGCTTAAGCTTATATCAATGCAACAAGCTACATTTAGAGGCTAATGTTGGTTTTTAGGTGTAAGGGAATGTATGTTTGATAGATACACCTGTATAGTAGCGGGTATTTGAAATGAATTTTCTGGTATTACAGTAAAAGGTAGAGTCGGTGTGAGCTTACACTTTGTTCTAAACAGACTCTGCTTGTTAGTGGTGATGATCCCAGCTCCAAACGTCATTATGTATTCTTAGTGGTTAGAAACTGAAAATATCACTTTAGTTCGTGTATATTGATTTTTCAAGACAACTGAAACTTTTCTAAATCCTTCAACTTTTGCTGGTTGTCTATTATATCAGAAAAGCAACATTTGTATTGTAGAGTGATTTTCCATTTTATCAGGAACTGCAACATTGCTGTCTATTGCATAACCTCTCTGTATTGTGTGCCCTAATTCAAACAAAGCACCCAGCCAGTTTTGAATGAGATGGTGCATCCAGTTACTAAATTCCTTTCACGAAACCTTGGAATGTTATTTCTGCTTAAAATTTAGTAGTTAATTGTGCATTTAAAAACATTGGCATTTGCCTACTGATTCAGTGAAGCTCTTGGATCAGTGATCTTTCATTACGATAACTTAGTTATCAGTATATCAAGTTGTTGCATCATTTGAGGCAGAAAAATGTTAGTGACTGTTTCTAAACTCATATCAAATAAGATTGCCAGACAGTGAAATTTAAGTAAATACCTTATTTCATTTTCTGGATTGAAAGACATTAAAGAAAAACGAAACTGGTTTGATAGTACAAGTGAATGAATAGTTGATCACACATCATCATCTCATCCAAATATACCATAGTTGGAAATGCTCAAAAGCGACTCAAGGATTGAAAGTAAATCTCTATAATGTTATTAAAGAAGTCTCAAAAAGTTGAAATAAAATAAGAAAAGGATAAATGCAAATACTTGGGAAAAAGACTTTATTGTTTTTTTTTATTCTATTTCCTGTATTTGGAACAAAACTGATCCAGTGCAAGATTAAGAAATTCTGAAAAGCATTCAGTCTATCAAGCATTTGGGAATGCTGATCTCCAATAAGTTATTTTGCTCCCTAAAAAATAAAAATTACTGATCTTACATGTATTTTACTCCAAATCCTTTTGCTCAGCTGATTAGAAGTTGAGGACGCAGTTTCTATTTCTGCAAATTTTGTCATGGATAATGTGATAAGTATGGAAACCTGCACAGGTGTACAGTGCGCTTTCAATAGTGTTCCACAGATGTGTTCCACATATGTTCCAGTGATAGACATCACAAATTAGTAGTCAAAATGTGTTTAAATCATAAACAAATTAGGCTGGTTTTAGAAGTTGAACTTCTCACATGCCATCCACTTTGTTACTCTTTTGCATTAGATTGGGCAGATGAAAAGGATAGAAAGGAGCTAACAAGATGTAAATTCTGAATGGTTAGGGTACAGAAAAGCCGACGTATGTGTAGTTTTTGTCCCAAATTGAAACATATTTTCAGGAATTATTTTCTTCGCGACAAGCAGAAGCGTGCACAGCTTTCATCAGGAAAAGCTTTCTTATATGACCGCAGTTTATCTCCTAACTGAATATCAACTCACCAAATGTTTCTTCGAATGAAGACTCGAAGTCTCGGTTGTTTGAAAGGGTCTGAGAAGGAATGATGTTAACTGCTGACCTGAAATTTGTTCAAGGAAGTTGTCGAAAGTTACATCACAAGTTGATGTTGTGTTGTGAGGCACTGAAAGAAGCTAACATGATAGTTGTGGTAACAACATGTGCCTTAATCCAGCCAAATGTAAAGCCATGACGATTGACTTTCTTGATTATAATAGTTGCACTTGGCACCCCATCTCTACAGGCAGAGTTGTTATCAAGCACATCAAATCCTTTAAACTTCTCAGAGTTCATATTTCTGAGGATTTGACTTGGAGTGATCACTGTGACTACATAATCAAAAAAGCCAATCATCGCCTCTATGCACTTAGAACTCTAAAGAAGTGAAGCGTGCCGACATCGGACCTAATCACAGTACATTGCTCCCTTATACGATCAGTAATTGAATACGCCTCGGCTGTATTCAGACCTAATCATCTGTCTGATTGCTGGAGGGAATTCAAAGGCGCGCCTTTATATGATTCTTCCGTTTAATTGAATTGATACTAAGTGACCTGTATTCATGAATCTGCCAAAGTTTATCTGATTTAAAACCAATCAACCCTGGTAATTCAAAAGCTGCTGGAACTATAATAACAAAATGTGTAAGACAAAAAAGATTGTCAGAATTTGTATCTGTGAAATATTTAGATTTTTGGTCGTAAGTTAAATGTTAATTATGTGTGATTTGTGTACGATCTTGTTATCCAGCTCATAGCTGCAAGGGGTTCTGAATAAACAACTCTACTCTACTCTACCTAGCCGGATCACTTACATGTTTACTCTATTTACTTGTTTAAGGCAAGAATTACAACAAAAGAGAAGTTATAAAGTGTTAAAGATCTTAAATTGTCGTGAAAAAAAAAAAACCAATATAGCTCCTGGTTGCTAGGTGTGTTTGGGTTTGCATTCGTAGGGTTAAGCAGCAAGCATGTATGTAGACAGTAGTTCTATTAAATATTTCCAGTGTTGAAGAAGACTTGTGAAACAATTATAGAGTAAGCTGATTAAATTATTTTGATTTCACTTTCTTGAAACAGAAAGAGCAAGAAGTCAAGAAAGAAAACTGACAAGATTGTGCAAGGAGATAGTGACAAGGCTAATTTGAAACGGGCTGCTGAACAGGTTGTTGAAGTGAGTGGGCCTTCAAGGAAGAAGAGATCTAGACTTGCTAACACTATAGAAAGCGATGAAAACTACATATCGCGTGTTGAGGTTAAGATTACAATCCCTGATGATCTCAAGCAATGGCTCATAGACGACTGGGATCTTATAACTCGACAAAAACAGCTTGTTCCAATTCCAAGAAAAAAGAACATAAAGGAAATTCTCGATGAGTATGTAAAATCTCGAACTGCTAACCCTGACAATGGCTTGAAACCTGGAGTTGTGCAAGAAGTTGCTGGTGGTATACAAGAGTATTTTAATGTTATGCTGGGGACACAGTTACTTTATAAATTTGAAAGGACACAGTATGGGGATGTTCTTGCTGAACATTCGAACCTTCCAATGTCACATATATATGGAGCGGAACATTTACTCAGACTTTTTGTTAAACTTGGCAATGCTCTCTCCTTCTCCAGTTTGGATGAGAAAAGTGTAGAGTTTGTGGTGACGCATATTCAAGACTTTTTAGATTATATGTCAAAGCATGCAGATAGCCTGTTTTCAACTGATTATGAAACTGCAACACCAGAGTATCATAGAAGAGCAGCAACATGATAGCTTGAATTTATCGTTTAAATTAGAATTTGCCATTAAATGTAAGAAAGTTTGCAAGGTGCAAGCTGGGCTTTTTGGCCTTTAAGCCCTATAAATATCCACATACAAATTGTTCAAAATAAACTTCAGACATTTCCATAAAGAATAAGTTGAGAGAATTTCTTAAATGATCAAAGCGTTTTACTTTGATGATCATTTTATTGATATTCATTACCTGTACTCTTGATCATGTATTGTTAGGAGAGAATAATATTGATGTTGGTCACCCTTGGGATATATTCCTTGAGCCCGAATGGGCTCTGAGTCAGTAGCCGATATGGGCTATTGACCCAGAGGCCAAGAGGACGAGAGGAATAATTGTTTTAGTAAAATCCAATTAGTTGGTCAAAAATATCAAGACAAAACAACTTTGGCTAGCAAAACGCGATTCAGCCACCATTGTTTTGGTATTCAAAGCCGGGGCTTTTTGCTACTAGTGGGCTATAACATATAGCCTAGTAGTAGCTCAACCAATCAGAATGCAGCATTGATAATAGACCACTAGTTGGATTTTACTAAAAAGGGTTAAACCTTGTTATCTGCATGAATCCTCTACACTGATAACAGCTGATGAGAATGATTTTTTAAAAAATTGAGACCTATTTTATGTCTGATTATTTCCATATTCTCTCATCCTTAACTTGATAAAAAGCAGTTATATTTTAAAGGTTTAAAGAGTTAGAGTTGACTGTAAAATTTTCTTGTAGACTGGTTTTGCATGCAGATAATGAGAGGCACAAACTAAGGTGGATAAAAGTATGTTGTTCTTTTTTAATTTATGAAAACTTGATAAAAAGCAGTGATATTTTAAAGGTTTAACGGGTTAATGTTGACTGCAAGATTTTCTTGTAGACTGTTTGTACATGCAGATATTAAATGAGAGGTGCAAACTAGGGTGGATAATAGTACATTCTTCTTTAATATGAAAATGACCTTGTGATGTTTCTTGAATGTTTGAAAAATAGTTCTTGATTTATGGTGTCATTAAGTTTATTATTATTGTTGTTGTTGTTGTTTTTGTAGTAGGCCATAGTCTCTAGCATTTATTTTTATGAATTACAGTTGTGTCAGTTTTTAATGTCTTTGTTATCATTGAAGCTTTAATAATTCAGGTAGTCATATTTCATTGTAAATAACAACTATTTGTCTTCCCACATTGTTTGCCTATGGAAATAAAATGGATTTTTGTGGTCCATCTTTCTCAGAAATAGAGCACAATTTTGTATTCTTCCTTAGCCTGTGAGCAAGCTTTTGATGAAAGAGAGGCTGCGAGCAGTTGCTAAGTAGACTACATCCCCAAGAGCTCGAGATTGCAATATTCAATCGGGAGGTCAGAAATGTCAGTTGTCACCCATTACATTTTGTCTTGATTTGCAGATGCGCCACACCTCTCTTGATAAAGTCAAAACTAGACCACGACCAATCGTCCTTCTCCTTCAGAGCCACGTGTGCTGAGCGAACAATTTTAAAAATATAAGGAGGAGAGGATAGAGAGAAAATGTTTTTCTTGGCTCGTGCTTCATAATAATAATAATTATTATTTACATTTATCATGTACATTTATAATTTACATTTATTATTTGCTTCAGCCCTCATTCCTTGCGGCTTCGTCACTCACCCCTTGCGCGTGCTCTTAGTTTACTGTGATTCAAAAGAAAAAAAAGAGACTAAGTCAAACCTCTCTAGTACAATCACCAAAGGGGCAGACCGAAGTGTCTGCTGCTATATGGTAGATTACTTGGCCACCAACCTCCAATTTGCTCTGAAGGCGCTTGCCAAAAATCAGAACTGGGGCCAGCTAGACCGATCATTTTGAAAATGAAAAATTAGTCTCCTCTTTAAATTTTTCATTAAAACATCAATTGCGTGCATACCATCATGAATTAACTGATCGAGCTGTATAGTCCAGATTAATAGTGAAATTCTCCTTACGACTGGACTGGCCAGCCAGTTCCGATAAATGGTAAGTGCCCTAAAGCTAATTCCTGCACGAAAAGATGAGCACCAGAACATGCTTTGAAAGTGAAGCTGAATGTAATTCGGAAGTGGCCTATTTTCCTCGCTTCACTCACCACTCGCTCTCCCTAGAACTTCAACCACTACAAATGTTGATATCTTGTTAAGGTGTTTTAGCATGCAAAAGTTTTGGCTTTAAGTAGTATGAGACAACCAAGAACAAGCTAGGGATCCTATTTTTTTCAGTATTTGCTTCTTCAGTCAACTCTACAGGAAAGACACCTGATAGGTCCCTACCTTTCGTTATCAGTCGATCAGCTTCTGCTCCTGTTGCCTTCATCTTTTTTAGACCTAGAGCCTGTTCACGGGTGGTGCCCGAGTACCAGTGCATGGGTACCAGGACAAAATGGTGGTGTGTTCACACCTTTCTGCGTACATATTTACTCCATTTCATTCTGTCAGACGCAATTTTGAAAAAAAATGGGTGTAGCAGGGAAAGGGTGTGCAAAGCAGTAGATTGCCTTCGAACCAACAAAAATGTGTGGACGTACAGTCGAGGGACGTAGCACCCACTTTGCTGCCTCACCTCAGTGCAAGGTCTCGACATGGGACTCAAACACTGGCACTGTACCTGAATTCTGGTGTGAGAACTTGAAAAAGGGTGCGTTCATATTAGTGCCCATCGATCCAGGGAGTACCGTGCACGAGCACAGGAGCGAGGGTAATAGGCTGCTGACGAGGACCAAGTATGAACATAACCTAAGTTATCTTAGCCTGCCAGTGCGTGGGGAATGGAAGCCATGGTTCGTGCACTCTTGAAAAGGTCTTGAATTGTAAAAGTCGTCTTGAAAAGTCCATGAATTCGGTTAAGGTCCTTGAAAAGTATATAAAATATCACCAAGTCCACAGCAACAAACCAATGAGTGGTGCCGGATCTCCAAGTTGTAGACCTGGATCAGAACAATTAAACTTGTAGAAAAATATGACATGGCAAACTGATCCTTATGGCAAGGCGATGAAAGAGTAAACAAAAGAATAAAACAAAAAATATATAGTTAAACAAATTTTCCCGCCCACATCCAAAGCCAGGGAAAAGCGCCCTGGGGACGAGGTTGGCGCGCTGAAGTGGCGGGAAGCGGGAAAGTGGCCCGCTGCAACCCTGCAAAATTTGCATCCTGGCTGGAGTACCGGCTTTCAAACCTCTCGATTGAACACTGACGAACTTTTCGTCTAGGTTTCCCCACAAGTTTCGCGACAGCCTAACGCTAATCTTGAACGAAATGTTATCTTGAAACGAAAAGGAAACTAAAATATGGCGATTTTCCAGACCAAAGCCAATTGTTTCGCTTTTCCCAAATTACGCTAGGCACCAAAACAAACTACGTCATCATTGGACCAGTCTGGCCGGGAACTAAGCGTGAGGCATAATATACCAGCAGTTCGCGTCTTATGTAAGCCTTAGTCGTAAAATGATTCCTTTCGCGACTTATGTAAGCCAGACTAAGCCGCGGCTTATTTTTTCTCGTATAAACGGCCCTAATGTGATCAACCATGCCTGAAAAAGTAAAAATCGGACTCAGAGGAATCGGACTATAGTGATTTCATTAGCTTCCATTAAGTGTTTTAGCCAATAAGGTTTTTAAGAGGGGGTTAAAGAATAAATCTTAGTCCTTGAAAACTGTAATTTGTCCTTGAGTAGTCCTTGAAATTGTTGGGCAAGCAAAACGCGGATCGAAGAGCCTCGACTTCGATTTTTCAAGAAAGCCGAAGAAGTCTGGTTCCAGTTGCGAAATGAGTCACTACTGCGCATGTTCGCACATGTGATTTTGTTAGAGCAGTTGTGAGGTGAAAATTTCGTTCGAAAGACAAGGAAAATTGCCCATTTGACTTATGGAATAACCCTACGATCTGGCGGTTTGGAAGTGGAAATGCTGCGGATGATTATACTTTGCTAGTTACGGGGATTCACGAAGGTAAACCTGCACAAAGCATCTAAATTTCAGGTAGCTTCACCCAGTGGAGCCAGGCGTGCACTGAACGAACGGCGCAATTCATACCTTCCAAGGGCTGTGTCTTTTCAATTCGCTTCTGATCGTTGTATTTAACGCTTCGGAATCCACTTCTCTTGCTTATATGATAGCTTGGAATATCTACCGTTAAAGCTTCATTTGACAAATGTGTTATTTCCTCCGGCGTCATAAGGTTTAGGCCACAAAAATTTTGATTTGTTTGGCGCTCGATTTTCGCTTTTTCTGTTGAAAATAAAGAAGTTGCCGGTTGATTACTCAGATTGTTAGTTTTTCTCAGTTGAAAAATCATTTTGTACAGGAATGCGTTTGGTAAGGGTCATCAGCGTGGTAAATTTTTAGGGCGTCTTTAGGAGCGTTATTTACCGATAAAAATGTATTATTTAAGGGAAAATGATCTTAGATCCTCGTGCAAGGCTCATTGTAAAGAGTTTCCCAGGTACAACTGTAAATTGGCATGATAAAGGAAGTATCGATGAGTGTGTAAACTGTAATTGCGTTAGTTTTCAGCAAAGCACAGCATAATGTACTGTTTTTATTATATTTCGTTTCTGATTGTCTGATATTGTTCACTGACTTTTCAGGATACATAATATACAATATGACCCTATCATTAGTATGGTTTCGTAATAATATTGAACCCATTAGGGCTTAATAAAAAATCCTAGTTAAATTGCATGATAATATAGTGTACCAGTTCACACACAAGTGACTTGGGAGTTCACAGAAAAAGGCAAGCATGGTGAAAGCTGCAGTGTTTGTGTGAGAATCCAGTCTCATTTTATACTCCAGATCTAGAAAACCACAACCACGTAATATTTGAATACTTTCAGTCTAAGACGTCTGGCAAAAATATTTTGCTAACTGAAACTGATAGCTTCATTCATTTTTCCCGAAAACCTTAGTAATGTCCAAAGGGAAGGCATTAGTGTGACAACAAAATGTATGGAAATCAAGGAATGTGAGGACATCCAAAGATGTTCCAACATCTTTGTACCATGCAGCCTTTAAATGCCATGAGATTATCTTATTATAGAGTCTGAATAGCTGGGAGATAAATTTTTTTAACTACATTATTTTGAGTCAAATTCTTGTGTAACAAGAAACAAAAACAGCAACAGCAATTTATTACACATCAAATAGTTTTAACACGTAAAAGCAGACCAACAAGGTAAAAGTAGATGTTTCATGCTGCCCACAGGAGGTGAAGTGAAAAAAAAGAAAAAGTCTGCATTAATATGAATCACGTTAATTTGTACAAACATTAGTTTCCACTCCATTTATTAAGTGGAGCATTAATTTCTGCAACCTTAGTTTCCATTAGTTTGGTCTTACTAAGACTGTGAAGAAACCTCAAAGTGGCGAGAATTCCTTGCTTGACCCTCTTCGTACTTTTAGGGAAAGTAACAGGAACAAAGTGTTTATCTCTGATTATATATTTAACTTTGTTCCTCTTTTCTCAACAAGTTTCGTTTCTTTGTGAACGTTGCATTAATTTCTTTCATTTTGAAATGCTACCCTCTCTTTCACGATAATTTTCATCATTCAGAAGTCATTTTCCATTAGATTTACATTAATTTAAGTCACGTTAATTTCCAGTATCTTAATTTCATGGAGCGTTAATTTCCTATAATAAGTTATTAATTTGAACTGTTTTCTTCTAGCTCAATAAACGATGGTGACTGTACCATCTCCACAATGTGTTGGGCGAGAATTTGTCCGGCAGTATTACACCCTCCTTAATCAAGAACCAGTCCAGATTCACAGGTATTATGAATTTTTTATCATTATTAGTGGTGGATGTCGCCAGTTACCCATTTATACACCTGGGTGAAGAGAGACAAAGTGGAGTAAAGTTCCTTGTCTAAGGAAACAATGCGACCGGCAAGGCTTGAACCCCGTACCTCCAGATCTAGAGTTCGAAGTGTTAACCGCTCGGCCACACACGCCTCCATGGGTACTTGCGACATACTGCTGGGGGGTAACCCTGTGATGGACTAGCATCTCGTCCAGGTGGGAGTAGCAATACTCCTAGTTATTCTTCATGCTACGGAAACCACTATAAGCTCTGGCCGTTTGAGCCTTTGGTTCATGCGTGCGTTTACCTACCTTACCATTAGTAGTGGATGAAATAGAGAGGAGAAATTTTCAGGTCATGTTGCCATGGTAGCAAAATTTTTTGGGATCAATCTCAACAAACCATGGTCCTGCAATTATGCCAGAAAAAAAGGAAAAATTGAACATGTATGACTTTTCTGTACATGATTGCACTAAGGAACAAAACGGTAGCCCATATTTTTCTTCTATCTTTTGATAATGCAAATGGCTGTCTCTGTCAAGAAAGATTGTTGAGATCCTGGAATTTTGCTACCATGGTAACATGACATCACAATTCTCCTCTCTATTAACTTTTTATTTAAACCCATCGCTAATAGATGGGTGTGGTAAGGCACCTGGACAAACTGAGGGAGCCACAAGCAAGCGCGGAAGGTAACCATGACAACCCTATGAGCGGCACCCACCAGGCACTGGAACAATGATAACCGCAGCTGTGGACAGTTTCACAGATACTTACCAAGACACATCCAGTGGGATGGGAACGAAAATTGGCTAAAAAACAATATCACACGAAGACAATGAAAGTGAAATGATTGACCTCAGCAAAAACACTGTGAAATATTGAGGGAAATAAACTGAACTGAACTGAATTACTAGAGCCCTGCAAATGCGCAAAGACCACCCCAAATATGATTAGTGATGGAGGTTGCTGCCCAGCATTGTTGACTAAGTGATATATAAGTTTAGCCTCATCATATTCTGGTGATCTAATGTTTTCCTTGGCAGCAAAGGTTTGTAAATTAGATGCTAGATTTGTTACTTTTTGCCTAGTACTTAGAGGGTTATGAGTTTGAATCTCACCTGGAGGGTGGAATTTTTTCTGAACTTTCTTGTGTTAAAATTCTCCGTTCAAAAAATAATTTGTTCGCAAGTTGTGGGTTGCATTTGTTTGACCTTGCATTTCGAGATAGTAGCTCATACATGTAGGTGTTGCTTTTAGCCTCATTTTGAAAGTGAGGACTTTTGTAACTCTGAAATGTCCTTTAGCACAATTTCAATATATTATGGAGCGAATAAATATTGTTAGCTGTTCTATCTCAAGTATTTCGGTCCAATATCTTTTTACTTTGTTCAGATATAAGATTATTTACAGTACTGTACCACACCTGTTTTCTTCCTACATCTGTATTAAAAATGTCACTTTAAAAAATAGTTGTAAATGTGACAAAGGCTTTTTATGAGCTTCCATTAAATTGCAAAAACCAAGATGTATCAGGGTTGTCACTAAGATTTCAAGTTGCCGGGTAAATACAACAAGTAGGCGGGGAATCAAACGGCTAGGGATTTCTTTTGGTTCTATTTTTCTTCTATTTTCCTATGAAAGTAGCTGGGGGCCACTCTTTTAGTAGCCGGGGAAAATCCCGGCCCCCGGCTGTTACTGACAACCTTGTGTATATTCCCTCAGTGTGGAAAGTAACAAAGTTTTGAGGTGTATTTTCTTGGTTACAATTTTCAGGTTTTATACCAAGCAGTCTTGGTTTCTACATGGGAGGGCTGAAAATGGACCCTCTGAACCCCCTGTGATTGGCCAAGAGGTATGAGATGCTACTTGCTTTATGCAGGCTTTTGTAATACAACAGGATTAATGCAAAATAATAGAAGACCTTATACATAAACCTGAGAAGCTTTCTTGGGAGTTGGATTCATTCAACTCAGATCTGTCTTGTTTTTTACCCTCATACTACTAGTGGTTCATTTGCTTTTGGATGGCTATTTAGATAGTTATTTAGACAATTGCCTCAAATATACCTGTACATAACCTGAGCTCAATTCTTCACCCAGGTTGAATGAAGGTTGTGATTTTTTAACTTTTGATGTTGGGGAAGGCAGCATGGGGTGTTTGTTAAGGCTGTTGACCCATGCAAATGAGATCATTTGTTCATGATTGCTGGGTCATGTCAGTGCTTGATCTTCTGTTGCCCTGGGTGAGTAACTTGACATGGGTGTTGGCCAATCTTGCTTTGGGTTAAGGCACACTAGGTGTTATTGTTGGCTGGTAATAATGGAATAAAGCCTTAGGTGAATTCTGATAAACTGCTGGATTCTCCTTCCCTTTGCCTTGTACCTGCTTGTGAATCAAAGGGAAAATTTAATAAATAATTTATTAAATTAAATTGAGTTGACTCCTGATATTCAGTTGTAATAATTATTACATTATTATTACTGTACCTCAAATATTATGACTATATTGTTTAAAATGCCAAGAAAGTCAAATGTGTGTTTTACAACCCTTTGGAACACTCAACGACTCTTGGATTCAAACCTTTCACCGTTAGCACAAACTGTTAGAGCATTGGGGCAAACTGTTAGAAGGTCAGGGCATAGCGTTAGAACTTTAGGACAAACCATTAGCTATCCGATAGTTTTTTAACGTTTCACGGATTATCATTAGTGTATGCTTTTGCATGAGAGGTCACAAATGGTGTACCTTTATGTGATGTTTTTAACAAGGAAAATACTTAGAATGTGGTCAGCAAAGACCATCAGAGTCACAACTGTAATGAAAATGGGGTGGCAAATTGGACTTCATCTTTAATTTTGTCTGTCTTAATTTTAGCTTTCTCAAGCTTTTAGTTCTTATTTTTTTCAGGCAATCTACAGCAAGATCAAGGAACTAAATTTCCATGACTGTCACACAAAAATCAGACAAGTGGACAGCCACTCTACTGTGGGAGGAGGGGTGGTAGTACAGGTTAGTATGGATCAGCACTCTGTTTTTCTCTTTTCCCTTTCTGTCTTTATCTAATGACACCAATAATAAAACAAATAATGAAACAAATATTTGTTAAATAGATATTACATGGCCACACCGAGATACAAAATTTGTCTTTGAGTGTTGAAGAATATTCCACAAGTGAATGCAGTGAACAAGAACATCACAGTGAGAAGATAAATATATTTCTCCAAGCAGTCCTGTACTGTTCTCCTTATTGTATACACTGTAAACCCCAATGAAATACCAAACCTTTTCACAATAAAACATTTTTTTGCTGCAGAAGGTGTTAAGATAACATTAGAATTAGAATTTCCTTTCTCCAAGCAGTCATGTAATGTTCCCTTATTATATACACTGTAAACCCCAATGAAATTCCAAACCATTTCACGGTAAAAAAATTTTGCTGCAAAAGGTGCAAAGATAACATTTTTTTTTTAATTTTTCGCGTGAAAGCACACCTGGTATTTCATTTTTGTTTATATAAAAAGGAAGTCTTCATGAACAACTGAAATATTTGTATGTTGTATCCTCTGGTCCCTGTTGAGATCCACCCAACCCTTTAAGTCCCAGTATCAACTTATAAATTCTCCAGATGTATTTCGATACATTACTTTGAGGAATTACTCATAATCGAACATACTCAGGATATGAAAAAAGGTGTCTCTAACTGGAGCTGGCTGCTCGAGAATGTAACAATACAGAGGTTGTATGGAAGTTGAGGAAAACGGGGTTTTGTGAAGGCATCCATATTAGTAGAGCTGTGCACTTACAAGAGTGTCCTTTAGGATAGCTTCTACTGTAGTTGAGTGAATTTAATAAAAGATCAAAACATTTTCCCTTTGGTGCAGGTAACATTCTCTCTTCATGGTGTACTATTATTGTTAGGAGAAACTTGATGTTGGTCACTTTTGGGACTTAAACGGTTATTAAGAATCTAAATGCAGTGGAAATTTATTGATTTGGGAATACTGTAGCTATTCTCAGACTACAAGAGCTTTTTGGTTCGATTGTTTCAGATGATCCAAGCTTCTTTAAGCAGGTTTTGCATGAAAAAGCATACCATCTTCTCTTTATGCAGGTGTCTGGTGAACTGTCTAATGATGGACAGCCCATGCGAAGATTCATGCAGACCTTTGTCTTGGCTCCTGGCGAGGTCAGTACTTATACTGTTATAATACAGTCAATCAATACATTATTGTTTATTTATCCACTTGACGTCAGTGAGCTAATATGCTCATTCAAAATAGGTACATGTTGCTGTTGTTTTAATGCTATATTATTGTTTAGATTAATCACTAATTTCGAGAGACCACCACCTTGGTTTCAGTAGGGTAAAGTGGAAATTGCTGCTGTAGTAACGGCGATATTATGGTGTTCCACCTTCTCAATTCTCCTTCCCATGAGCAATTTGCTGTCTCTTAAGAGTTTGATAACCAATAGTGGTCTACCTTGTTTGCATAGCTCTCAAACACAGAAAAATAAGGAATGTATATATTTCTTAACATAACCAATGACTGGCTTACTTTTAAAACATAAGAGGACCCCCTTAAATTACATGCTGCGTTTTGTAAATCCAATCCTTTGATGATATTTCTGATAGGGTCCAAAAAGGTATTATGTCCACAATGACATTTTCCGCTACCAAGATGAGGTGTTCTCAGAAGATACTAGTGATGAACCAGCTGATGGAACTGTTGGTAAGTTGAAATACACATGCACTATCTCCGCCAAGGTACATAGTTTCTTTTAATAAAGCGTTGCCAAAGTATAGCAAGAATCACTGAGAGACACTGGATGGATATAAGCTGTGTGGTAGTAAACATCAGCTGTCAATGACTGTTGGTAGTGGAGGTTAAATGAAGATGAAATGTTAGAGCTGATTTGTGCAAGTAACAAGAATAATAGTTCTTAACAAATACTTTTCCACCATCTCTCTTTTGCGTACATGGTTTGTGAAAGTTAAAGGGTTAAAGATATGGTTTACAAATTTCACCAAGAGCACCCTTTTTCAAACAGCAATTTTAATTCCATTATTTCCCGCCTTTTAACTGATCAGGAACAGTGAAGAAGACAATGTCAATGAATTGATAAACTGCTCAATGGTGTTGTCATTTGAACTGAGACACCTACAGCATGATATAAAGTTCTAGTTTGGTAGTCTGACTGGGCTCAAGCGTGTAAAATACTTCCTCATCGTCATCATCATCATCTGGCCCTTTCGGTCGGGATGTTCTGGACAATCTTATTCCACACTTTGCAGTCTGACCTGAGCAAGATCCTCCCTGTCAATTCTGGAATCCCTTGAGATCATATCTGGGAATGTGATTTCCCTTGAATGAACAGTGCCACTTGGCATTTCCATAGTAGAAGGGGCTGAACGATCTCACCCTTTGCCCATTGGCAATGACCAGCAAATTGGGGATAGCACTTAGCAGACTTGCTCTGGAACAATCCACCTCTCTTCATAAGTCTTTACGACAAGTTATAGTTCTGTGCTTATGAACAATAAATTTAGTGTGTGAAAACTCATGATCCTATGTTTTTGACATTTTTGTAGATTCTGAAGGTGAAGAAGAGCACCCACAACAGGTGCCAGTGAATAACGTCAGCAGCTATGATCAAACCAAGCAAGAGCAAGCTATTGTGCAAGACATTCCCAGTGAAAATTTGTACTATGCTGAGTCAGGGCAAACCAATGGGTAATATGAAATTTCCTTGCTTCTTAGTAGTTGTTTCTTATTTTCACCCATGCCGCTAAAAATTTTACGAGATTGTGTTCGATTGGTTGTATTCTGTATGAGTACACAGCAAAATGTGCAACAACTTTGAATTCCTTACATCAAGAATTTAAAGCCACTGGAATGTCATCCTGATTGCTGATGGCTAAAATTATTTACCTGGTTCTGCAAAACGCATTGAAATTCTTTTTGAAGGGCCTCCAAAATCAAATTCCATGTGTGACAAATTGCGTTTTTATCTTATGGTGTCAAAGATTTTGCAATGTTGCCTGCTTAAAAACAGTTTTATTGTTAGATGTCATGTGACGTAGCCTGCGAATACAGCCATCTCTCCTCTCTCCTTGCCACTTAGATGTTTCACAGAGAGGACGTCTGTGCCTCAATGACAATGCTATACTGATAATGTAAATCAATGTTTAGATAATCTGGTAATCATGGGGTTCCAAATTAATGTAAATTTCTTTGAATTTATGTTTCTGGTCTGTTATTTCAGAGTTTGAGTTCCCCTGTGAAAGAGTGGAAGCAAAACTCAAGAGAATAATAAATTCCACAATAAAATTGTTGACTGTTTTACAATAGATTTATTATACATATCGCATTTACATTTGACCTCTGTCTTCTTCTATCGTGTATAAACAATAACTGAAAGAATATAATCTATGTTGACCAATCACAGTTCCTGACCAGTTTCTGGACAGATTTTACATTATCACTATGGCATTTCTGTCAATGAGGTGCAGACATCTCTCTGCAAAATGTCCCTAACGGCAAGGAGCAAGCAGAGATGGCTGTAGTTGCAGGCTACATGTACATGTGACCTTGAAGTAACCAATCAATGAGAGAATTTTATGCCTTTTAACAAATACTAACTTTTAAGTTGCTTTTTGACACAGTTCGACAGCATTGTTGAACCAGGAACCACTGCTGGATGAGGAAGATGATGATGAAGGTGAAGAATCACTTGAACTTCAAGAAGTGGTCATCGACAAACATCCACAGGTACGAACATAATACTGTAGGTTGCTTGTAGTGCATATTTTTATAGCCTGAAAACAGATATTATTATCCCCAGTGGAGGGAATAGAAGAAATTTATTCTCTTTGCTAACCCAGTAGAGTGCAAGTGTGCAGCGAAAGTGCACATAGATTCTACACAAAACCAAAGGCCACAGGCTGATATGAAAGCCAGTTTCCTCCTCTCATAATGTTTAATTCATGAATCTCTTTATTTTGCCACAAACTAAGAATGTTTTCTTTCTTTCTCAAATAAATTTGTATTGCAAAAAATGTTTACTCACAAAATCAAAATGTTTGCTTAAAGATGTTTGTTTGACTCACTTTGAGGTAAAGTATTTTCAGCTGATGTTAAATGGAAGAGGGAAGGGGTGATACTTGAAACAGCCAGGGCGCGTTTGTCATTCATGTTATTAAAGGATAATCTATTCCCTCAGAATGCTCACCAGGAACCTGTTCGAGAGACTTCTGCTGTAATTCAGTTGCCTGAAGAAGAGGAGGAGCCATTGCCTACAAATGATCAGTCTGGTGATACTCCATTTGAACCAGAGCAGCCTGAGGTTGATGATGTAGAAGGACCTGAAGGAGCAAGGACTGAGCCAGAGGCACCTTTAGAGGATGTAATGGGTGAATCTACAGAGCCAGGTACCTACATTCAAGGACTGTTCACGTGTAATACAGTAAAAACCTGTGATTAAGAACCTCGCTTTTAAGATCCTGTAAGGTTTAAATTTTCCAGTTAGGCCCCCACTATCAAGAACGTGTTTAGCCGAAAATGGGAAGCTGGTTCGTAGTTTCTAAAATCTATAAAAAGAATGGTACACTTGAGCAAATAAAAGAAGTCAACATTTATGATCCTTTTGGGTCCTTTTGGGGTTATCACTCGTACTGCAATGTAATGGTACAGCTGTAAGCATTCAAGGGACACTTGCCTTAGTCCCATGGGTGTCCCCTGAATAGAGGTTCCATTGTAGCTTTTTATATCATGTGTATATGATGTTGATTTCAGCTCAAGAGAAACCAAAGACCTGGGCTGCACTTGCCGCATCCCGCGCACCGGCAGCTCCAACTAACACAGCTCCCACCACAAACTCACGCCCCGCCCGACAGCCACAACCGGTGAGGTTTGAGACTGGTTATGTTATGTGCACTGTATTGATTTTGAAAGGTTAAATGGTGGTTTACACATATGGAGCAAGTATAAGCATAAATAGCGTAGTAAAGCATGCGCATTGCAAGAGACAATGCCTCTTTCAGTGCTCCAAAAAGTGGAATGATTTTCCTTCTTCTGCTCACATGCTTATACTTGCATTTTTATGTTACACATTTAAAATGGGACATTGCTAGCGTGCTCATCGGCACAACCACAAATCCCTTTTATTTTACCCCTTGTTGGATTGATGTAAATTCTTTGGCACCAACATTGAAGCAAAAGAAAACGTTTTCTGTGTTTGCATAGCCTGATATAAACACGAGAGGGGTTGGGAGAATTTGAGACAGTTATGCAAACCCGAGACGAAGTCGAGGGTTTGCATAACCGTCGAGAATTCTCCCAACGCCTCGAGTGTTTATATCAGGCTATGCAAACACAGGAAAAAGTTTTCTATTGCTTTTATAAAATAACTTTCACGAGAAAAAACTCAAAACTTTTTGTATGGTACTGATTAAAAGAGAAATTCTTACCAGTCGCATAATCTTGTCCACGAAGTCTTGCATGCGTAATCAGTTCTTGTTTTGCAAAAAGATGCTTCGCAAAATACGGATTTTTCTCGTTCAAAATGCCGGCTTAAGCAAAGAAAAATTGACTCACCTTCTTTGTAACGATTTTCCATGTTTCAGCCGACGAAGGAATGGGTAAATAAAGTAAACTTGTCGAGTTTTGAACTCGAAAACTTTTTCAAATTCGTGCTTGCGTGATTAGCGCGCGAAAAGCCAAACAACTTGACGCCACAACCATGTTTACATACTCTCATGCAAACACTCCTCTCGTCCAATCAGAGCTCGCATACTATCTTAGTTATTTTATAAAAGTACATCTATACAGCTGTATACATCGCCTTATTCTGATCTTCAAGATTAAACATCCTTGTGCTTCTTCCTTTTCCAATGCTGAATAATTTTGGCACCAGGCTCCTGCCCAGACTGTGTTATCACCACCGCCTAGACCCCAGGCTACTTCAGCCCGCCAGTCCAAGGAAACCCGTGGAGGCCCAGGCACTAGAGAGGCAAGGATGAGTGCAAGGAATGCCCCTGATAATCATCAGGTGTTTATTGGCAACCTACCTAATAATATCAAGGATGATGAAGTGCGAAATGTGTTTGCAAGTAAGTATTCAACGAGTACTTACGTCCAAGTTGCCCATAGCCTGTAATGCATGTTTCATTGGATGAGCGAGTGCTTTGTATTTCCTGTATTTGGCTGCTGTTTGAATTTGAAAGAAGAAACTGGGATGAGAAGAAAATGCAAAGCAATTGGTTGCGCATTAGGTTGCCCCCGTGCAATTTAACTCGTGTATATAGTGTTAGAGACCTGTAGATTTAAAGAAGAGGACGACTTCGAGAGCGAGATTTTCTCAAAGCGAAGTAGTGCGCGCGCGTGATCCAGCATTACTTTGGCGGGAAGACGAACTACTTTTTAAAGTCGTCATTCTATGGCAGGTTTTAGCGTGAATGTCGTTGTGGCGGGAACAAGTCATCAAATTTTAAAGTTTTATCATTTTGCAGTCGGGAGAGGGCTTAACCACCTTCAGAAAAAATAATAACTGTGCTAACTCTTCTGGTGACAAAAACAAAAAGGACAACGGAGCTTTCCGGGGTGTCTATTTTTTTTTTTAATATGAGAAAAAAACTTGAAGGCAAATCTCATCCTTGTGTTAATCCTCGTCCTCGAATCTAAAAGTCTCTTATCATATTTGAGGGGGGTGGGAGGGAAGGGGGAGAAACAAACACCATTGCCTGCAGGTACCAAGTTCATCAGGAGATGAATTCAAGACTCAGTGTACTGTTATCAGTAAACAAAGTGAATTTCAAGTATTTTACCTACCTACAAAAACGTTTCTTGGGACTTTTCCCCTTACAAATGTAGTTAAAATATTTACTTTATGTAATACTGTCTGAAGTGTACTTTGTTATCTTTGCAGAGTATGGAACGATACTGGAAATACGACTCAACCCCAAGGTATATAAACATAAAGAGACGTGTGTTTAAATGTTACGCATTTATTTTTCATGACATCTTGTAATGTAAGCTAACTACCTGTACCAATGTAGAGGAGCCTGTTTAGGGGCAGTCCACTTAAATAATTTGCAACAAATTATCAAAATTGAACAAAATTTTTGGGCCGCCAGTTTAAGTCTGGCTTTGTTGTAATAACCCGCCCTAGTCATGGGCTAATTACATTCTTCTACTGAGATTTTTTTTTTCCTTTTTCTTTCCTTCTACTCTCTTAAATGCTATTAACTACCCCGAGGAAGTTTGTTTTTCTGTTACTGATTGTTGTGTCTTGTTTTTAGAACTTTGGATTTGTCATCTTCAACAGCCCTGAACCAGTGGAGCAAATCCTTAGCAACAGAGTAAGTGTGAAACCAAAACAGCTCATTCTCTGATCGTTTAGTATAGCAGTTAGTCAAAGAAAATTGGAAACGTAGGAGAGTCCACGATCGGAAAACTTGCAGCGTTTGTTGGTCATGTTTAGGTTACCCCGCTGGAGAGACTGGGTCAGTGGTGTGTCGAATGGCATTATGGGACTGTTTTGGGAGACAAATTCTGGCCCAGTTCCTTACCTTTCTTAAAGTCCTTCGCTTCTCATTTCCGGTTCCGGTAGTAGGCCCCAGCTCCATCTAGTCTGACACGCGACGGGGACGCAAATAGTTCGCGCCAAAATGCCGTCACTTGATGCGATTTTCTGCAGTGAAAACAAGTCGAACCCCCGCTCTCTCACTCGCTTTCATGCCGCAGTAAACGTAAAAAAATCTCCCGCTCGCGCTTCGCGCTGGAGAAAAATATTGGGCTCGTCTTGTGGGCCAGTCTACTCAGTTCCCTGCGCAACTTCACAGTAGCCAGTCCCATCGTGAAGTTCGTTACAACACCATACTCACAGAACCTCAGAGTGACTAGCTAATCTTTATTTTGCTGATGTTGTTTTTGTTTTATCTAGCCGATCAAAATTGGTAACCATGAAATCAACATAGAAGAAAAGAAGCCTAGTGGTACAGTTGGGCGCGGTTCTGGCGGAAATCGTCGAGGGGGTAGTGGAGGTGCTCGTGGAAACGCGCGTGGCGGCGCGAGCGGAGGCGGTGGTCAAGTTGGCCGTGGAGGAACTGGATCCCGCTCGAGTAACCGCGGAGGGGGATTTGGAGCTAACAGCGGCGGTGGTAATGCTGGATCCAGTGGGAGATCTGGCAGGGATCGGGACAGCGGAGGTCGCGGCGGAAAATTCAAGTAGCTAACCACTGCTGGACCATGGACCGGAGCAAGAGTAGCATAATTTATTGTTATAAAGACAAAAAAAAACGCACTCAATCTTTGCAGAAAGCCATTGTGGCGTCGTCACGTTCACTTCTCCTCGCTCGAAGGTGTTGTTATCTTTCATAGTATCGCGTGCACTGTCGTCTGTATCAGCAAGCTTTATAGCAACATTCTTACTTGCGTTTTGTCTGCTGGCGGATATGTTCGTTACGTTTCGTTGTATTTGTGGTTTAAGTCGCGTGCCTGTGTAAACTGTTCGCGTGTTGTGGTAGCGAGTGTTCCATTTGAGAGTTTAATATATCGTCCGAGGCGAGCGAAAATGCGAAAAAAATGAAGAGGACGCCTGAAGTGACTTTTTTGATCCATGGCCCCCAGATGTAGGGAAGAACTTTGAAAGGATTTAAAACAATTTTGAACTTTTTTTAGAATAGTAGCCATCCAAAGTTATATGAAATACAACGTTTGCGATATTTATATTGGACTCAAATCACCAAAAAATAAAACAAACCTGCCGTATTGTAATGATGTATGGAGTGGTATTTCAGTCTACACTCAACTCTCTAAGGCCGGCACCCACTAAGGGCCTGCTCAACCACGTTCCCAGGGTTCTCTCCTACCCGCCCTACCAAGCGAGAGAAGGCGGGTAGGAGAGAACCCTGGGAACGGGGTAGGGGCCTGCTTACATGTAGGTGGAGGACTCCAAGTATTTGAGGTAATCCGCCTGTCCATATTATCTCTCATTTTAATTTAATCACGTTTACATGAAAGGTAGGGGCTCCAGGAAGGGTGACCATATATATAAGAGAGAGAACTTACTCCACTTGAACGTCAACCTACACTTGGCATGTCACGCCGTAAAGCAAGAGAAGCTTACCCCATAAACAGAGGGAAACCTCTTTCACCAGATGATTTAAACCGTTGAGGACAAAAGTTGAACTGTACCTTATCGATCACTTTATTTTATAATTTATTTATCTATCATGTTAGCTATTGTTTTCATTTTTAGTTTATCATTAATCTCTCGTGTAAATTTAAATTCAAATTAGGTGTCATTATAGGATTCTTTTTAAGTGTAGCTCTTGCCCTGAGGAAGGCTAATTTTTTTAGCCGAAATATTGGCCTATAATAAATCGGCCCTTTACCGTATGGCCAACCTTGCATTCAGTTTTGTTTTAATTCCCACGTCAAGTGACGTCTGGCATTAGCATCTCTACATTAGAGATCCGGCAAGAAAGAACCAGTCGGTTTTATTTACGCGTTGAGTGAACCTCTGTATTTAAAGGTTCTTTCTATATTATATGGACAGGTGGGTTACCTCTGCCCCACCTAAGCGGATTACCTCAGCCCCTTGGGTCCCCCACCTCCATGAAAACTGACCCTAAGTGTGCTTTAAGTGTTCGTTCTAGAGAGATGCCAACCTTGTTTTCAGGGTCCACTTCTACTCGTCTCCCTCTCTCTCTAACTTCGGCGAACGAGTAGAATGGGAACCCGGGAACGAGGTTGGAGAGATGTCCGCCGAATAGTAGTCCCTCCAGAATGCGAGAAAGAAGTAAATGACCACTCGTGTGTGACTGAGGGCTTCTCGCGGCTGGTCCGATCGCGCGCGCTCGCCATCTCACCATCTCTGATTCGGAGTCAAGGTAAAGTTTGCAGAAACACATGGACGAACTCTCGTTGACCTTTTAGTTCAACCTGAATAACATTGTTCCGTGCTACAAAAGGAGACTTGAATAGCTAGGCTAGTATTATGGGTCTCTAACTGTTCACCCAGCTAGACCACGGACCTCGGATCACAATGATTTCAATTCCCCCCTCTCCCTCTTACTAGCCTGAGGTAGACTCTCATCACAGGCGTCTCAAACTCAATATGTGAGTGCATGTTAAAAATTAATGCATCTGCTAATATTGCGTAACGTGAAGTTTTGTAGAGTTTATATGGGAAAAATTAAAAAATGTTGCCTTATCTTAGCTTACCGTGTAGCAAAGAATTAAGATAAACCTACTTTTGCTGTATTTGGTGTTCCTGTGACGTTTTGAAACGTTTTGGGCTACAAAACGACACAGGAACAAACAAAAGTAAGCAAAATAATTCTCTGCTACACAATCGCGATAAGCTAAGAGAAGGCGCTATTTTATTTTTCCCATATAAACCCTATAAAACGCTACGTTATGCAAAATTAGCAGATGTATATTTAATTTTTAACATGCTCTCACATAATTACTGAGTTTGGGATGCCTGTGCTCTCATACACTAGGCCAAGGGACGTGGCGAAACACCTCATCACCACAGTGGTTGACTTGACACGCCTTCATGGGGCGGATTAAGCAAATGAAAAAAATGGTGGCTAGATTACCGGGCCCAATTATTATTAACCTGCGATCAGGCGATTTTTTTTTTGGCAGGTTAAATTATTATTTGCCACCATTTTGGACTGCCTCCCCACCACCCCCACCTTACTTGACATTCCCCCCCCTTTATTCCCAATCCAGCGCTCAAGTCCAAACTTTTACAAATTCACTGTTTTTGCATGTGGTGGCGCCACAGTGATTCCTAACATGTTAAAACAACATGACTGGCAAATAAGTTGATATTACTTTGGCAGCTGCACAAACAAAGAACCTTTTAGTAAGCCGTCGTTCCTAGAGATAAAGTATGTGATAAATTAATTGGCTGCTATATCGAGATGAATTAATTACGCTTAGCGTCAGAGCCACTTGCACAGAAACCCTGCATGCCAAACGGAAACTCCACTTTCGAAGGAGGATAGCATTACACATTTTATATTTCATTCACCTTGCTTCTTGCGTATTGGGGACAATTTTAGACTCTTCAGCTCTCGCGAGCTTGCATGACTATCTTCGTGTTATTTTCCGACAAAGTAGGGATCACAAGGAAGGACCGATCAATGGAAACCGTGTCACGAGAATGATATTTCCGATTTAAAAACACAAGTTCCGGAGCGTTAAAAGCATTTTTATCCCGTTCAGTCAAACGAAACGGCAGGTTTATCGACTGCTGTGATGACTAGTGGCGTTGGTGTAAGGAGCCGATGCAGTTTAAAAACAGTCTTCGCTTGGGCAGTCCTCGTTGTCATTGCGTCAATTTTGTTTTTGTCGTTCAAGTTGAACATTTTAGAATTGGGAAGGAACCTCCGCCATCAAAGCAACACAAGAAGGACAAATAAATCAACTTTGCACATTCAGAAGTTTAACATGAGGGGGAATGATGTCATGGTTTTCGTGCACATACAAAAAACTGGAGGAACACAGTTTGGTCTTCAGCTAGTCCGGAACTTGGACATAGAGAGACCTTGTCAAAGACAGAGATTACAAATGTCACACAACATACGACGCAAAAAGCGCTTCAAGTGCCTTAGACCAGGTTCCTCTAAAATTTGGCTGATTTCAAGACATCATCTAGGTTGGCCGTGTGGACTCCATGCAGATTGGACAGAAAACAAGGAATGTGTTTCGAGGTATATGAATTCACGTGAAGGGAAAAATGTAGACCGGACGTTCTTTTACGTAACAATAATTCGAGAACCTGTTTCACGATTCCTGAGCGAATTTTCATTCGTTCACAATTCCTCTTCGACGTGGAGTGGGGCTTCCCTCCGTTGCAACGGTCGCTCTCCATCAAGGGATGAACTTCCACTATGTTTCGCTGGAAAAAATCTCAGCGAAATTACGTTGAAAGAGTTTATGGGATGTCCTTGGAATCTTGCTATTAACCGTCAAAGTAGAATGCTCGCTGATTTAAGGCTGGTAAACTGTTATGACACACGTGCAATGCAAAAGTCAAAACGAAATGAAATCATTTTGCAAAGTGCCAAAAGAAATCTTCAAAAAATGGCTTACTTTGCCCTCATGGAATACCAAGAAGAGAGTCAGTTTTTGTTTGAGAAGACTTTTGGGTTGAAATTTTTGACCCCCTTTAAGCAAGTAGGAGGTAACGAGACAAAGGCGGGGAAGCTTTTTCCAAAGTTGAACGATTCCGGGTTGCAGGGAGTAAGACATTTGAACTCGCTTGATGTAGAACTTTACACGTTCGCCAAAAAGTTGTTTTTAACACGTGTCAAAAATTTTAAAGACGCAGAAAGTAGAACCTAACGTCTACATTAAAACTGAATGTAGTGGTAGACATTTTGTTTCGTTGAAATTGTCTCGGTTAATGCTGTTTTTCTAGCCTGGCGTGATTAGGCGTTGCGAGGGGAAAAGAGGAAGAAGGAAGCGACAGGAGCCGGCTCCTGGAAGCGAAAAGTAAAGAAGAAAAGCTCCTCTGCTCTTGACTCTAAGGGAGACCTGACACTCATGTTTTTCCTCGTTGAATAAAAAAAAATAAAAATAAAAAAAGCAAGGAGTTAAATTTCTCAGAACCATGAGGTTTAAAGCAAGTATACAAAAAGGAAGTTGATAAATTTGCCGTCAAGAGTAGTCAGGAGCCCTGGAGTTGTTCATTCCATCAAATGACTAGCCGATTAGCGTGGGAGAGCTGTATTGTTTTGGCGGCGGAGCCGCGAGAAGAGTGGGTACTAGTCATATTTTTTAAACTGCAGTTTTAATGGCTTATTTACCATCAGGGTGCATACAGTTGAAGAGCCCGAATTTGGAATTTCGAGAAGAGGAAAAGGGGGCTAGCCTGCGAAAACATCCGTTTCTCCTCGCTCTTCGCCGACGGGGACGAAACGTCCCCATCGGCGAAGAGCGAGGAGAAACGGATGTTTTCGCAGGCTAACAAGGGGCTTAAACCGGACTTTCTCAACCAAAACTCCCTGTGGGAGGACCGTGGCGGGTACTCCCATATGAAAGTGGCAGGAATAGTCGCCGTCTCGCTTTGGGGGTACAATTTGCAGATTTTGGTCTCACTTCGGTTTTAACAGGAGTGAAAGCATATACAGCTGAACTTCCATGTGCGACCACCTCTCATAAGCGACCGCCTTCCCAAAACACCAACATTTTCCTAGTCAAAGCCCGTATAAGCGACCACTTAATATTCGCATTTTAGGTGGCCCCTAAAATGACAGGATATTCGACTGCATTTTGACCCATAAAGTTATCACTTAGGGTTGTACCAGGAGCCGGCTCCTGGTTGTACCTAAGGAATATCTGAAGAAAAATCTTTCTATTAAATTGGAGGATGGTCTCATAAAGGGGTCAGATAAAGCTTGAACCCCGCCCAAATTGGTCTCCTTACGGGGGAATTCAAAATTTCCGATGAGTATCCCCGTCTCTTTCATATGGAGAAGTTCCCCTGGGAAACTTCTCTTCTCCTACTTGCCCGAATTCTAGCCCTCCCTCTCCCCTGAAAATGTTCTTGTCCTTTCCGTAAACGGTATGGATAAAATATATTCATATTTGATCAATCCAAATCATACGGTAATTTCGAATTTGGTCTGTAAAAATGCGACTGAGGCAAGGTTTATTGTCGGGATTCCGAAATCGGAATTTTATTTGATATATTTGACATTTGATAATTTGTGAAATTTGGCCAAAAAAGTTGTATCAATTATTACTTTAAAAGGATCTAAAAGAATGTTTCCGTGTAATCAGAATCAATATCAATATTTCATGAAACTGAAGTGCTTTTTATATTCTTTTTCTGGTAAAAGCACGTCCTTATCTTTATCTGATTCGATTTAATTACATTTCATTTTATTTAAATGGCTTATGTTACTTGGCTGAACTTTGCATATCAGTGAAGTGCGGCTACACATTCTTTCATATTCCATTCGTCGCGCTTGTCCGGTGATTTCAGCAACGAACGTATTTCAGGTCAGAGCTGAGAAGTGGTTTCTAGTGACTTCCATCACTGTGCTCGTTAAATCTTGAACACACAATGACATCTATGAAAGTGCTGCTATACTCAAGATGGGGCTATTTCCTCCAAATTGACGGGCAGCAAAGAATTCGTGGTGTGAGAACGAAGGACGACTTTTGTGGTAAGAGGACAATGCGGCCGGAAATCTGACTTTGAGACTGTACTATGCGTTATAATTACCTTATAATCGAATTTAATGGTGAAGTGTACAAACCTGCAGTGTTATCTGTACCAAACAATTGACCCATTCTGCTCGTTTCAAACCCAAAGTGTTTATTACTCTTCCAGATTTAGAACTGAAAACGGTTGATTTTGGCAAGGTCACTATTCGAGGAGAGAAAACCAAAGCTTATGTTGCGGTGAATGCTCAAGGAGAGTTGTGCGTGGCAGTAAGTTTCTTTCAATAAAATTCAAATAAATGTAGAGGTTAAAGACACAATTTATGCAGTTAATTAAACTCTCCGCGTGTGGTTGGCTTGCAGTAGCACTTTTTAAAAGCTGTCTGGGTTTGTTTCCGGAGTTTTCAATAGTGATTTAGCGCTGAAGTACCATGCGAGCAGAGTCTCCTTCGATCTCCTTAGAAAATAAGATCGAAGGAGACTCTGCTTGCAGGGTAGCGCTGAAGCGAAGGAATATATATTTTTACGTGATCAATTCTAAGAGTTATTTATGTTGATGTTTTCAGTGTGATATTACTACTCTGCCAGCTTAATATAGCCATATATTGGCCTAGCTGAAACTGATTCGTCTACAGTTATCATAGTTGGTTAACCCTTTAAGTCGCCAATAGGGACCAACAACAGCCGATCCCATGGGCTTCTGCCAACAACAATTTTCTCCTAACAATATCCTTACATCGTCAAGAGATGAAGTTATGAGAATTATTAAAATGATCACCAAAGAGAAAATGCTTTGATCATTTATCAAATTCTCTCAACTAATTGTTAAAGGAGATGTATTGAGATCAGTTTGGAGAATTTGTATGTGGATATTGGGGCTTAAAGGGTTAAAGCCATAAGAGGGCTTTCACCTTGAGCCATTATTCTGATAACCAGTAGAGGCCACAACAGGAAGGGCTCCCTTAAAAAATACTTTGAATGGGGACTTGTAATATCATTTTGGTGTCATACGTTTCTAAAACTAAAGAAAAAGAAAACTGGGCAAAGCGTTGATGTTCTTGCTCTGCGGCCGGCGACCAGGTCTCCTAGGGCTTTTCTCTTGAAACTGTGGTCTTGCTTTTCGGTGGGTGGGGGATTGAAACACAAATAATAAATGATAATAATAGTCATCAATTGCCGTCGTTGAAAGGTTCAAAGACGACGTTTTGAGCGATAACCCCTTACCACAGCGAATCGGTTTTTTTTCGACGTGCAATTGAGTTGATGTAAAAATACATTTGCAGTTTTTACCCTTTTACAAGGGAGCGGCAAAATGGAGGAACTATAGGCGGGGTACTCAACAAAGTTTTATACGAAGAGGTTCCGCCCCGAGGTCCAACCCCTCACCTTTTATATACCATGTTTGACAGACAAGGTACCCCTTTGATATGTCTGGTTTGCTCCTTTTACAGACCGAAATGACAGATTTCAGTCCCAACCCTTAATATACTTCAACTAGTGAAACTGGGCTCCCGCCCTTTTATCATACACCTTACGCCTGAAAAAGGAACCCCATTCGAGCGGAGCTTCGCCGTATTGGCCATTGTAGGGAATAACTCCCGGCCTTTTACCTAACACAACCTATTATGGCTAGCTAGTTGCCATTTTTATTAGATAAAATAGTCTTCGTTTTGGTGCCGCCATTTTTAATGAATAGAGGGTCCTGGGAACAAGGTTGTTAATAAAGTTCCCTTTGTTCACAGGAAAGCACGAACCCGTCGTGTGTATGGACAGAGATTCAACACCTTGATGGATATAATTATTATCAGTCTGATCTGCACAGCAAGTTCTACATGGGGTTAAAAAGGATTGGTGTTCCGAAGAACGGAGACAAATCTGGTCTTGGCCAAGTAGGGTGCGGTTTTCTATCGAAACCAATAACATGAAGAGAAGTTCCTAATTTGAGGTCATATGACAGTTTTCGAGAATACTCCTTAATTAAGTAACTATTTTCATAAGAACTTCCGTAAAATGCTTGGTTCAAGCGCCGCGCCCACTGGTTCTTATACATCGGCTGAGGAAACTGCCAACATTTCGCGACGCCACCCCTGGTGACTCGAGAAACGAGCAAAGAAGTTCCATACTGATGACGCGTCACTATTCAAATCTGGGTGGTGCTTCTGATTGGTTGAACCAAATCTTTAACCAATCAGAAGCATTACCCAGATCTAGGTAGATATGCGTCATCAGTATGGAATTTCTGCGCTCATTCCTCAGATGAAATTTTGCGGGAAAACCAGTGGTGGTATCGCTAAATTTCGGCTGTTTTCCCAGCAGGCTACTCATGCACATGCTTATGTACAGAATCTAATTTGATGAAGTTTGACTTTGGAGCCAGGGATGGTTTAACCGGCGAACTTAGGTTACAAGAAAAAAAAGGCATACATTAGGATTGGCGCATGAGAAAACCGGCCCCCTACATGTTAGCGCCCAATAACACGAAAGTTGGCGTTTACCGATTTTTACCTTACCAAAATTGAGAGAGGATCTTGCCAAAATAAAACTTTTGAACCAAACTTCCTTCTTTGTCATACTTGACAGATATGCTAAGCCCTCAAGTGGAGTAGCGTTTGAACCGGGTTAAAGAAGTAGAGTTTGAACCGGGTCTCATAAGCTTAAAATAATAAAAGCATCGTGTAATTATTCTAGGAATGTCATTCGATCTATCATAAAGGTCTGTTCATTCGTTTTAAGGTTATCACGTTTTGTCTTGGAAACTAAAAGTAAATCGATACTTAGGCGAAACAAATTCTTTTTGTCTCTAATTGTTATTTAAAATGAAATTTAAATTATTTTGACACATAAGTCGGGATCCTAGGCAGAATGCGAGTTGTTAATAGGAGTTACGTCCATTTACTAATAAACTGTTTTTTTGTTAAATGCTGTACTTGGTTTACTTTGAAATTAGTACATTCGACCGATAAGCAAATGTATGAACGAACTTTTCCTTTGTACCCCTAAAAAAAACGATAATATCAACCCCGAATTCATGTTTGCAAGCGACCTAAAGTTACCAAAGGATTGTACTTCAGGGGTGAGGGGTTTATTTACTCCTTTTTTCAACCGTCCAAATGCGAACTTTATTTTTATTACAGAGGAAGCAATATCTCCTCAAAAAACTCAACGACACAAAGGGATCACGTCCAAGTTTAGATCAAAATTTCGCCGCGCGAACCTTGGTATTCCGCGGCGATGGCTAAGAGGGTTGGTAACAAAAAAGAAACTGATTTTCAAGTAGGTTTGTCATTTAATATATTGATTGTTAGAGTTTTATATATTATTGTATCAATTTAAATACATGCCCATTTTCTAAAACGTACCTAAAAAATACAGTATTGTGCCCAGCAAAGGCAGATGAAGTGGACAGCATAGTAACCGATTAAAGTTTTATATATTATTGTATCAATTTAAATACATGCCTATTTTCTAAAACGTACCTAAAAAATACAGTATTGTACCCAGCAAAGGCAGATGAAGTGGACAGCATAGTGACCGACTTTTTACTCTATAGCAAATTGTTTTCTATACTGAAATTAACTGTGTCTTGGTCACGTTTACTCTTCATTTTTGTAAATATGAACTGCACAAGTGGCCTTGAAAGACTGAATGTTAACTTACTCAGAAACGCCTATCAAAAGGAGATTTAACCTCCTTTCATAACACTAATTCCCATGGTAAAATAATCTTGTCTTCTTGATCATGGTCATTTTTATAACCAAACAATTAAGGCGCGCAGGAATTTGACGCAAATCTCCCGCAATCCATATCAGGAGACACAGGTGATTAGATTGAGGCGTTAAACAATTACAATTTCCACTTGACCATGACTGGAAGGCCTAATTCCAAAACTGAAAATTCATTTTTAATGTTTCCTTAAAAAAGAGCTCTCAACTGAATTCTTCCATCCGCGTGAGGAGTGTGTACAGTAGACGCAACACTGAATAGTGGGTGAATATGATGAAATCCTTCTTCACATAAAAGAGATGGCGATTAAGCACTGACGCTTGAAGCAATAAATTAGTTTAAAGGCCCAGCGCTAAGGTGATACGAAAAGAGAGAAGTAAAAAGAGACTTAAAAGCTAGCATCCTTGCGGACAATTTCAATTGAGAAACATTTCAGTTCTTGCAGCGGCTGAGTCGTTTCCAGTCTTTCCGTTTTCGTTCTCACTGGCAACTCATGATGGGATTTCTCGCGCGTCCCTTGCGAGACTCCCTCGCATTACGAGAGTACACTAGGCACGGAGCAATTAAGTTATCATGCAAAGCCACATTCCAGTTGATCCTAATATGATACTTCAGACATTGTACATAAGGTTGGGTTTCTTGTCATAAGGTTCAACCCAATGAAAATACTCTAGCCAGTTCTTAAGACAGCCCCTGTCAAAAGGATTAAGAAATATTCCGGATGGTCCTCTGAGGTACACATATCGCTTCTTGTTGATTCTTTCGTTTGTAGTAAGGTTGATAGAAATTTGATTTACCTGTCAAAAAGAAAATCATTGTTGGGCAGTGAGAAAACAGGAAATAACACCTTATCCATAAAATGAAATTTTGTTTGACATTGCTCGAGCGACACAATTCTTCTTCTTCTTCTTTTTTTTTTGGAAAATGACGCAAGTATTTCTTTCTTCTGCGAAAACAAATGTCTTACGTCTTTATTCTTTCACTGAACCATTTATCTTCCATTTATTTTTACCATTCAACGAAAATTTGCATAATTTTAATTGTTACGACACTCTGGCTTAGACAGGTTTCTGATGGAAGAGTCAACGGCACATCCTGTTATCTGCTGTTTAAAACATACACAGACCTTTATCAGAGCGACCAGCGTTTGCAAAACTTAGGACGGCGGGGAACGGGGACATCTTATAGGCGTGGCTAACAGGAAACCAAGAGTGACTAAATGGAGCTATTTATGTATCAACAACAAAAGGGTTTTACTCACAATAAAGATAAACAGAGCTGACATGAGTGCGGACACCACAATAAATTGAAGCAATCCAATACTATATATCCAGCTGAATCCACCCAAACGAAGCAATATGATGGCAAAGTAGATCGTCATTATACTACAAGCTGCCACGCACGCTACAAATATCAAGAACGGCCCTCTGAAAAGAACACACATTACGCTGGTTTTATTGTTAACGTCACTGCAAGGTCAACAAATATCATCTGTAGTACACTTTCATCTTGTTACATTCATACTGACTTATATCTTCACAACATCTTGAGCATTAAATTAATGAGCTCAAATGGATTAGGATCAACTATAATGAACATATCATGAAAAGAGGAAAGAAAAGAAGCGGCTTTCAGCCGCAAAACTCTCATGTTTCTTTTTTTCCGTTGCTATTTTCATGAGACAGAGAGGGTAACTCCCAGTCTAGCCCTTGGTATATGTGAATTTCACCAAAGTTATTTTTAGACCAATTAAACGCTTGAAATTAATCGGAAGTTATTTTCCGAAGAGGCCCGCAAACCTTCATTCAATGTTGTCAAGAGAGAATTCAACAGTCGCCATTATAATATTCTGCATGTTTGCTTTAAGGCAATCGCGCGTGGACTTGACAACGTTTCAAACAATCGACTATAAATGTGCAGAAGTCCCAGGAATTAGACTTCCGTTTAATTCCAACATCTAAAAATAACTTTTGTGAAATTCACACATCCCGGCCAAAGCTCTAAGATTTCCTTTTTGTCCCATTACTCTCACTTGAATTGAGTCTCTTTGCTGAAACAGCTGGATTTGGACGTGGTTTTTATCACAAACGCTCGACTGGCCCGCAGAACAGGCGTTCTTTTAAAGCGTTTCATTGGTGAACGTAAAGCGTGGAGTTCGAGGAGCTATGAGACAGGAAGGGCGCGTTCTATGCAAAAATCGCGCTTAGTGCCCGCCTGTTCGCCCATCACCTCCACTCCCCTCAAAATATACCGTTTTTTTCTGCACACGAGTTCTGGATACAGGCAAGACTGAGCTTTTTTGCCTTCTTTTAACTGTTCATATTGAAAAAAAGAAAAAAAAAAAACCGTATTTATTCGATTAACCGCCCTGGGCGCTTACTAAATTTTTGGACCTTGAGAGTGGGCGCTTATAAAATTTTCACCCTTTTCAACAAGTATAGTATGTATATTTTGCAACAAAACAGTAAATGGCAATAACAAAACGCGAAGATGTAAGAAAGCAAGGTTTCTGCAAAACACTCTGAAGAAAACTCCGTCTTCGGGGAAGTTTCTTATTAGTACTTATTCCTTTTTTTGGGTGGTAGGGGGAAGGGGGTGGGCGCTTATTTGAGTTTGAGTTCGAGTGGGAGGGAGGTAGGGTGGGGTGGGGGTGGCGCGCTTATTAACTTTTTCTGCCTTTAGGATGGGCGCTTATTCGAGGTTGGGCGCCTATTCGAATAAATACGGTACATGTAATATTTTCCTCTTCTGCAAACCGCACGGTTTTTCATTTAGGTAAAGCTTCTCACATCCTCCCCCACCCCCTTCACCCAACCGAGAAAACACACACTGTATACCTGTTATAGAGACCAACGCAGTTATTTATGTAGGGACAGTGATGGTCAAAATGCTTCACACATCGGTTACATATCCTACAATGCTTTGCGCGCAGGGGTCGCACCAGTCTACACGTGTGACAGAGATTTTCCAGAGGGTTTTGTCCAGTCTTCACCTGCCACTCTTCAAAGAACGGAACCTGGGTACAAGAATTACACTTGTCAATAGAAGAAACGGAACGCAAAACAAGCTCGTTCTTACAGATGAAGTTGAACACAAAAAATCTTAATAAACGACACATAAAAGCGATTCCCCCCCCCAAAAAAGGGAAAATGCCATTTTATGGGCTTAAGTTTATTCTCGAACGCAGCTGATATTTTTTACCCTGTTTCCAGAGGTCCGTTCTCAAAATACCTAGGATGAAATAAACCATGCTAACGGTTTGCTAAAGCTCTCGAGACGGAAAGAAAAAAACCTTTCACACCCAAGGTACTGTTTTTTTGGGTCGTCACGCAACGCTCAGACTGCGATACGCGACGACACAAAACAAGGCGCTGTACAAGACGAAAAAAGGTTACTGTACGAGACTAGCTAGTCACCCACGCAGCCGTTTTTGTCTCGTCACACACTTCTTGGGGAGGAGCGTTGCGTGACGAGACAAAAACGGCTGTGTGGGGGACTAGAGACTAGCTTATGTCACGCACATTAACAGATACAAAATCTACACTTCATGTGGTATTAACTAACTCTTCAGAAAAACGTGCTCCAAACACTCCAAACCAATTATGGTTAGAAATGGCATACGTACTTGCTTTAACGCCATATCGTAATCTGGACTGTTACACGGGATAAAGCCCGGATTTCTCGAGTTGGCATAATACAGTGACATCCACATAAAAACATTGAAAGTGATAAACAGATAATGAGCGGAAGGTGTGTAACTCCACGTCTCTGGCAAAACCTGTGAATATTAAAACAAATGGTATATTTTTTTACGAAAAATCTAAATACATTAATCGACCACTACCCAAAATGTCGCCTGTTCCCGGCGTTCTATAGTCGACCACCCGGTTTCCACCGTTTTAAAAATCGGTCAGAGTTTTCATTGTTTCCAAGTTAAAATCCGACCAATTCCTACTGAATGACGAAACCCAGGAAAAACTTTGGGGAGTTAAAAAAAAAAAAAAATTCACGGGGTGGGGCCTTAGTTCGTCGACGCTCGTTTTGGAAAACGGTTTTATCCTTTAGTTCGTCCGCATTTTTCCTTTACTCACGATTTCGCGCTACTCTCCACTATCTGAAATGTGAAGATTTAGTGATATAGAAGGTCCCTTACTAAAAGAGGACCGGGCAACTATATTTTGGAAGAGAATTCATTGCATGCAATTTCTATGTTACGATATGTGTAGTTTCATGTTGTCACTAAAACTACATCACATTCTCATTGCATTCATTCTCTCTCGCATTCCTAATACGTGTAATGAAAATAGTGATGACGCTGTATATAAATTTTTAACGCCCAGATGCATACTCCAGCCTGGTAACTTTTCTTAGTATTCTTAACTGTTTTTCAATTCACTTTTGTAAAAGTGACTTCTTACAAATAAACCTCATCTTTATAATTGTGATGATATCACTGATTACGGTAATATACTCGTATTTATTAGATTTAGGTACAGTGAAAATTCTTCTCCATGGTTGTAAAAATATAAAAAAATTAAAAATACTCACCCAGTAGAAATAAACAGGATAACCCCAGAGAAACAGGTTACAAAAGTAGAATAAGATTGCTGCCTTCGATCTCCCAGGCGGGCCAAATACAATGTCCCTGGATATTGTGAGCAAAGAATAGATAGATAAATATATTCAAAAAACTAACATTAAATAAAATAACTAATAAACAATAATTTAGTTGTTGCACATCAAGTTAGTGGTTTTTTTGTCTACCAGTATCCATCTCTCTGATCAAAGTGGAATGTTGAAATTATGTTGGTTTTTGAGAAGAGGATAACCTGTTTTTTGCGTAAGTCAAGAGCGGGCATACGAAAGTCCTAGAGTTAGGGTGAAAACAGAGTGTGAGACTGGGAAGAGACAAAAATTTTCTTTTGCTTTTTCATCACGTGCCCTATGGGCATGTTAAGGTTGTGCACTTCACATAAAAGTCTCATGACAGTTCTACAGGCCTAGCCTGCGTACAGCTGCCACCTCCCCTCAAAAGCAATTGGGAAGAGGGATTTTTTGTAGGGGAGGGGGTGGCTGTACACAGGCTATTCGGGCATTGAAAAACAATTTTTAGGAAAAATTGCAGCCTAGAGTACCTAGAGAGAATTTGTTGGAGCAAGGATGAGAGTTAACAACAAAATCTCCTGCACATTGTGGTCCCGCCCACAGGATTTGAGCCTAGCCCACATTGGAGGGCACTTAGTGCTCTCATCACCGTTCCATCAAAAAAAGGATAAGCTGTATCAGGAAACACTTGGAATGTCGAGACAGTTTTGATAAGATGTCCCTTATGCTTGACCTAACTGACATCTTTTACCACATAATAGAGTGAGGTCATTACAAGGAAATATCAGACCGAGGCCTTGATGTATTGACCGTGCGATAACGATAGTGATAGGTCAGTACATCAAGGCTGAGGTCTGAGATTTCCCTGTAATGGCTGAACAGATGAGGTTAATAAGTTATTAATAATAATATTATTATATGGCCTTTTTATTATGGACCTGAGCCTGTGATCAATTAAAACCAACAACTGGCCAGGGGATAACTTGAACAAACATGTCACCTCAGTGAGTTGTACACTTAAGCCTGCCATACAGTCAGATGACACTGGTCAGCAGATGACCTTTTTGACAGCTGTCAATTGACCATAACATGGATGTCCATAAAGATATCCACTATCAAGTTAAACACAGATTTTATACATCTTGGACACCTGGCTGGTCGTTACAAGAAAACAGCCGATCAGAGCATGCAAACTATTGTAGCCATATAATAATTTAAATTAGTGCATGCTTGTATGATTCTGCTCCAGCAGTTATGTCTCCAGTCCATAACTAACAATACTAACAACAAAAGAAGCACACCTCAATTTACAGGATACAAAACGGTTGAGTTTTCCTTGTAGAAAATATACAATTTCTTGGTATTCTCTCCCCATCGCCAGTCGCAAAGGAGTTTTGCTATTACTGTCAACCGCATCTAATGCTACATCCTAGAAAAAAATGTACACAGAGAGCACATAAGTGAATATGAGAAGTAATGGAAAAAGTATATATATTTGGAAAGATGAATGATGGAAAAGAATGTGTAACTTTGATATCCATTACTTAAAAATTACAAGTAGCATGAGACAATAGAGAGTTTTAGATCCGAGTTTACCGTGAACCTCTAACCGCGGTTTGCGGTTACCCGTTTGCGGTTCGACGTTCAAACATAATTTGATTTAGATTGGCGGTGGATTAAAGAAGTGGATTCTGGTTTATCTTTCCATTTAGAAATAGAAGAATAATCAATCAGTGAAAATAAAAGAAATTTACGGTAACACTGGGTTAACTAGCAGCAAAGAGCTGTAAATTCTTACATTAGTTCTTCTTGCAATTTCACAGCCGCCATTTTGAATCAGGAGCCATGAATGGCACTTGTTTTCAAGATCCAATAGGATTTATCAAATTTAGCATTTCGCCTAAATTTGTGCCTCTGTTAATGGATAAAGACTTGCTCCACAAGATTTTTGTATCATTACATGGGATAAAACAAGAATTATGCGCTAAAAGCTTTCAGGTAAATGACATACGTGAAAACCTATCTCCCGACATTGAAAACGCATGTCATAAACCTCAAAGGTGACTCGAAAGACTTGTCACGTGACCTCCAGCGGTTAGAGGTTCGCGGTAAACTCGGATCTAAAACACTCTAATGATGGCAGAACCCAGTATGAACATCCCAAGAGTGTGAATTGCTTACCAAAGGCAGCTGACTGCTTGTCTAAGCTTACTTTAGTATGTGAAGACAACTACCCAGGCCCTTTCCCATCACAAAATTGAGTAGAGAAAGTAACTTGCCAGGCAGAGAATTCTACTTGTCCCAGCTGACTGAATGGGACTTTTGTCAAACCCTGAATTGACACAAAAAATCTCACTTCTCCATAAAGATAACACGGATACTTACCATTTACCTGGAAAAACAGGAAATTTCAATTGGAAAATCAAATGGTTCATGCCATTACATTTGGGAAGCTTCAGAAATAATATGGGTTGTGATTTGATGCAATGAAACTCTTCTACTCTTGTCAGTCTGTTTAGCTGATTTGGATATACTTATATATATATAGTTCTCCCACCAAATCAAATTCTATAGATTTTTGTAATTTGTGCACAAGATTTCCCCCTAGGTGGTTTGTGTAAACTAGCAAGCACCCCACGCAACCGTTTCAAAAGATTTTTAATTGCCAAGAGTATTAAAAAAAAGGATGCCTCAGAATGACACGTACAGGTTTTATTTGAGGACCATGAAGCTGAAGTAAGTATTCAGTGCCTACCATATCAACTATATGTTCAACCGTGGTTAGGTCCCCACTAAGACATGCCAGATGAAGAGGTGTCTGTACCAAAAATATAACAAATACAAAATATGGACATCAATAATGCAGTCAAACCATCCATAAGCGACCACCCTAAATTTGAAGATTTACTGGTGGCTTCTCCTGAAGAGGTGGTCACTTGCAAGAATTAAGAGGGAGGCCCTGAAACATCTCTTTTTTGGAAAATAATTTATTGCATGCAATTTCTAAGTTATGGGTACAAGTATAGTTCCATGTTGTCATCAGAGAGATTTAGAGTCACGCTTACGGCTAATGGCAAAAGTCAGATTCAAGTTGAGAATTTTTAAAAATAGCACATAAAGCAGATAAAAATACTCCAAAACAACTCTTATGAACAAAACTGGCATGAAACTTTTATCTTTTTTACAGAAGTAACTAACAGTCAAAGAAAAGTAAAGGGAAAACTTGGTCACGTGGTACAAACTCACGTTTGCCTTTAGCCATAAAAGTGACAGATCACTGTCAATCTTGTTAAATTTCATTCAATGCTTTATCACTACAATGCTACAAGATTTCAACAAAAACCAAACATACATCAAACACGCTTCTCTGGTCTGCACTTAACACTTGCAACCAAGCATGCATGGCATTGTGGGATGTCTAATACGTATACTTCCAGTATACTACCAATTGATATTGTACAACTAATGTATTATTAATATTGTACAACTATTGTATTATTGTACAGCTAATGTATTATAGGATGGAGTAAAAAATAAAATACAAATACAAATACAAACATAAACAACCTAAATATCTATTTTAATACACTACAAATCTCTCAATCTGTTGTTATAATCTGAGAAGTGAAGTACATACAGTGAACAGAGGCCATATAACGCATCAAGTAGTTGCTCGCAAGAGGTTAAAAACAATGGAAAACAAAAACGTCGGGCCATCGGTCACAGTCGCTTATAAGAGGTGATTGTTTACAAGAGGTTTTAATTTATTATAGGGATTTAACTGGGAAAGTTTTAGTGTTTTTGATAGGTTACTTATGAGACATGGTTACTTAAGTGAGATGGTTGCACATTGAGGTTCAACTGTACCTTAAAACATGAAATTTTCGCGACACTTTAATTCCACGAATTTCACGATTATTTTAAAATCACGAAATTAAAGTGACGTGAACAATAAGTGTCATGAATACAAAACATGATGCGAAAATTAAGTGAATAGCAATATATCAATAATAGCTAATAATGATGAAGGGACAAATTTACACAAACGGCCATGGAGATCATGGTCAATTGACTAAAACTAACGAACAAGCTTAAAATTCTTGTGGAAATTGTTAGAACTTTGTTGTTACTGTTTTTATATAGACCCGTCGCTGCAGCTCTTGTTACAAATTTTGACGTTATTGTAAATGAAGTTGTTCTATTTGCTTCAAAGATAAGTTCAATAAATAGCGTCTTACTAAAGATCACGAAATTAATATGTCACAAAAATTTCATGTAATAAGTTATTACAAAGCTGGGACCATAAACAATTTCTGCTGTTTTGTGACATATTTCAATATTAAGTGATAATGTGCACACTTAATATGAGGTGAGAAAGCTCAAGCTATGACATTGTCATGTAATTTAGAGTAGGAGAATAGGAAAGCCAGGAGAGTGGGCAATATTTCCTGTATTTTCACCTAGAAGAAAAATGTACCGGCATATTTGAACTTATTGAATAAGGCTGTGTATGATATGAGGATTTATGACAATCAGCAAAAAATAGTTAAATGAATCTAGTAATATATAGTAATGTATGCAGTAAATCACTTTGAGAATATCTGCTACAATGAAATCTTGAGCACACTACTCAATTAACATAAAGCAAAATTATTACACAGTACAGTTTTACAACAAACCTGCCCAAACCTATCTTTCTGCTTCGGATCAAACCCAGAATACAGCAATAACTGCACAACTTCACTATGGCCTGTCAAGAGAGGTTTCATCCTAATAAGATATACAGATATGTACTTTTACAGTGCTAGGGCTACAAACTTGCCCTTGACTTCAGTTAACACGTAATCAGTTGCAGATCTGGGAATTTGTGATAAGGGGGTCCAAACTTTTATATGGTTGAGAAGTATCTTTCCTTGGTAATAATTCCCACCTTTCTCGCCTTTCACACATTTCCCTTTAACCCTAAACTGCGTGGAAATTTGAACAAGCTACTGATTGAATAGAATACATACAATTAAGAGCTGAAATTTAGCACAAATTTTCATCTACCAGCTATATGATGTAGAATCTGTTCCTTTTGCAGTAAAGCCAGGTGCATGTACCACAAAACACTACTAAGGGCCTATTTAGATAGGGGGTAAGGTTGCGGGGGGGAGGGAGGGATGGTGAGGACACCCTGATTCACCACTGAAAATTATTGTGTACCCTTACAATCAGTGTTAAGTGGAAATGCACCCTGGATGATGAAAGATGCCAATAATGCTTATTTATGAACAATTTACTTTCAATTTTCAGGATTTAAATGGTTGCCCAATGTGCTAGTCTGCAGTACACGATTTCAACAGTTTTACAAGCACCTTCCCCATACTTATCTACTGTTAATGAGTTTCACAAAATACTGAAAGATTAATGTTTATTTCTGAGAGATTTTGCCTATGAATGGTTGCTTCCAAGGTCTCCTACAGACTCAAATGTGAACACCACATTTTTTGTCTCAAGAATTCATTTAGCCTGTGTTGCAGATGTCCAATCAAACCCCGATCAGTAATGTCTACGATGCAGTGCTGACATCTTTGTTCTGAGCCCCCTACAGACTCAACAGATTGCAGGAAGTTTTTTTAAAATTGTCTTTCATCTTGGTTCGCAAATCCAAAATGTTTTTTTTTTTTACAGGCCACTGATGGCATGTATTAAAATCCTGGTACACTGAGATGGGGCCCAGAACAAGGATTTCAGTGCTGTTGTGCACACGAACTCAACCAGAGTTAAGATTTGTCTGTGGCGCAGGCTAGAATTCATTCTATGTCCAAAAATGTTGAAAAGTGCTCACCTTTAAAACATGCCCAATGTAAAGCATTATCTCCCTCATGATCTGTGAAAAAACTCTTTGCACCTTTTCCTATAAGGTATCCAGCCAGCATTGCCTTGCCATACTGAGCCGAAATAATAAGTGGTGTACAACCTTTGTTGTCTGTACAGTCTATTGATGCACCATTTTGAATAAGAAGATCCACACACAAGATATGTCCATTAACGCACGCCCAGTGAATAGGGAATGGTCCATAATCAGATCGACTTTGTCTGTTTACATCAACTCCGCAATTCAAAAAAAACTTAATCAATTCACTGTATCCCCCTAGGGCTGCCCAGTGTAAAGGGGTATGTCCATGGCTGTCGAACGTGTTTAGAATTTTTACGCCATGCTGGCCAACAAGCTCTCTGCACATCTTGGTATCCCTGTGAAGTCCCAAAAAACAAAAGCAGTCATAGGTAAGTGGTATGAAACAAAATTCTAAAAAATTGTTAACTTTATAAATATACTGCACTAGTAAAATAATAATCTCATATCTTGACCAATATTGATATGGAAACCATAGGGGTACAGGTGTACTCCCAATGCAGATCTCAGAGGGTGTTATCTGCCCCCACCAGGGGGGGGGTACCCCTGGGAGTTCTTGGTGGGGGTGTGCCACCTGGTTTTCCAAATCCTGACCCTCTTTTAGACCAAAAAATATTGTAAACCCCCAGGTCCCAGTTGTTCAAATTGATAGTGCTATCTAACAGATACATTTAAAATCACTATCCAATGGAGAGACCTTAGGAAAACCAACTGCGTCATCCACTGAAACCACTGGATTACGTTATCTACCTTCTGAACAACTGGGGCCGAGACTACGATCATGAAAGGGAGACTAAAAGGTAGAATTAAAGAACACCTGTTTCATATAGATACCGGTAACTTACATTATTTTAATTCAAGCCAGTATTAAACTTCAACGATCCTTCCCTTACTCCTTGCTCATGTTCACATCAATAAATTTAAGATTAATGAAAATGATTTTATAACATTTTTAACAGGAATATGTCTTTTATGTGGAAATAAATTTTAAAAAATGGAATATAGACAGCAATCAACAAACGGATCAAACTGACCAGCTGCACTCCCGACATTTGAGAGTGAAGGGACCGATACTAAAGGAATAAGACTAAGAATGGTAGTCAGGAAACTGTAAGATTTATACGAAAAATTTTGTCTAAACGCTGATCTTACAAGCTTACAAGGAACATTCAGAATTTAGCTTACATATCACCAATCCCACTAGAAGATCAAAATTTCTGTCAGAAAGAAAAAAGAATCAAGAAGATAATAATAATAATAATAATATTGTTCACTAACCCGCATTGTGAGGCCTCAAAAATGTCAACCGTTTTGCAGTCCTCATGGTCCTCATGGCAATCAGTATCTTTTTTCTTGCATGCATCCGCCATTTTGAGATTAGGATACCAGTCCGATCTTCTCCGACGACTTCTGTAAAATGTTCGGTGGTAATCGGAATAAATTCGCGCCCTTCCGAGTTTAGTCACCTGCAGTCCATCTGGGTCACCTGATTCCCAGGTGACATTCCAAAATATGGCGGAAGAGCGAGATTTGGTCCATCTTAACCGTTTGAAATGTTTCAACGATGCTGTCTTTGCTATAGTGTCAACGATTTTGATTCTTCCCATTCGAAGACTGGAATTAAATTCTGATACTGACCTGAAAGGGGAGCTTGAGGACCGATGGGGGCAACTTCTCGTGTACTTCTTTGCCTTTCTTGTCATTTGTGCCGTCTGGGAATCGCACGTGCATCGCTTCAAGATTCTCTCTCATATCGACGATGTTTCAATTTGGTTAAATCTCACGTCTCTGATGTTCACTTCGTTTTTGCCCTTCACTTGCGCCTTGGAGGGAAAATATCCCAAGAAATACCTACCCATTGTGCTGATTTGCGTTGACATGTTGATCCTTGAAGTTCTAGAAGTGATTATGATATGGTATTCGTTTCGTCAGAGTGACCTGCTAATAGAGGAACTTCAGGAGCTACCTGAAGAGCAACGTAAGGAACGCAGAGACTACATGCTAGCGAAAAAACTTCTCAACCCATTGTTGTATGTGCTAGCTGCTTGCTTGAGTAATGTTAATACCATCTCCGCTTGGGTGTTAATCTCCATTGTCATAGTCACGCCATGCATACATCGATTTATTGGAATTGTTTTTCGAAAGTGCAAGGCGATCCGCATGCCTGGAGCTGATTTTGATCTTATGTTTGGCAACTACATTGATACAGAACGCGTGGAATGTTTCAGCGATGGGGTATTCTCCATTGTTGCAACATTGCTGGTGCTCGATATAACTACAGAAAATTTCCCTAAAGAAGCAGATGTCACGAAAAATGGAATTGACAAAACTGTTCTGGACATGTGGCCCAAGTTCCTTGTTTACATAGCAACATTCATTGTAATTGCCTTCTTGTGGTTCGTACACCATTCTCTGTTCCACTGCATCAGAAGAATGAATCAAATCATGTTAGTCGCCAACAACATTTCCTTGGCCTTCGTTGGTTACTTTCCTTTCCTTGTAGCCATTTTCAACAAATATGTTGTCGACCCCAAAAAGCTTGATGCTGACACAAAGCTGGCTGTGCAGTGTGGTTCTTTGGCCATATTTTGTGCAAGTTTATCACAAGCAGTTGTATTTATTGTCGCACTGTGGAAAGGATCCTCCCACTTGGAACCCAGAGCAAACCCATCCATCTCAAGAAACAGTCATTGCTATCTGGCGCTCAAACTCACCATCATACCAATCGTGAGCCTGTTTGGTTACTACATCACATTTGCTAACTATACAGCAATATATATTGCTTTTCACACTGCAGTGTTCATAACACCCTTTTTGTTCCTGGCGCTGAAAATAATATTTGGCCGTAGAGAGATAGGTGTAATGAGACATGATATCATAATAGATGATGATACTGACACCTGGGTCCCTCCCCCGCACAGGAGTAGGCTGAGGGTTCAGAAGAAAGGTGTAGGTGACACTATCCTGGCAGATACCCTGGCAGTTTAAGTTACTCATGAATTTCAAAGACAATGTTAAAGAAACTGTACCCTGTGAGCAAAGCCTCTTTTTCGTCTTTTTGAGTGGAGAGGAGAAAAGGAGACTCTTCCTTGAATCATGTTGAAGCCTTTGAAGTCATTGCAGCCAGAAATTCTAGACTATTCAATCTTGTTTTTCTCGTCAAACTGTTTTTTGGAGTGTGAGCATCCATTCATTACCGTATTTATTGTTTAACAAGTGGTCATGCTTCCAAATAAGATGTGGCATCTGTCCTCTATCCCATAGCCTCTACAGGGACACTTACCTTATAGCCCATTTGACAGTATCCTCACTTGCCAGTCTGTTAAAGAGTCATCAACATGTCTGGTGTTTCTTTTTAATTTAATAGTCTTCCCTGTGAAACCCTTTTGGGGCAGGTGTGGGTGAGAAGACTTGCTCAGCATTTTTGGATCAATATTTACATCTCCAACCCAGTAAGCCGGTTTTTCTATGCCACTCACCTACCTATGACATAGCCTGCCTGTACAGCACTTTATACTCTTTTGACGCATGACAACATTACTTCCCCACTGCAGGTCTTTACTGCTAGCATGCCTGCATAGTGGACTCAAGTCAACTTCTCAGGTATGCTGGCAGTTGATGGCATATGCTACTCTTGAGAATTTTGCACTTATATCAGAATGTCATGCCAGGCAGTACCAGCAATGTCGAGAGTGGGTACATGGTATGTCACAGGTTGGTGGCTGCATATGAGAATCAGGTTAAAGTGAAGTGCTGAAGACTCTATTCCGTTATCAATGTGGCAATAGTAGTACAGATTACTTGAATAGGGTGTAATATACATGTAGCTTACCTAAGCAGCGATCTTTGATCTGCATTGTTCCCTCCCTATTTATTATTTTATCCCTGGGGTAACAGGTCATGAATTTTTCTCACTTCAACTGTGTAGTTCTTCCTTTCTCCAACGTTACAACAATGCTTGCTTCAAGTATGACATGTTGAAGAATGCAATTAAATTTAATTTGAGATTTAAACTTTTAAAGTTGCAAGAACTGTTAAGCTAGATAAGGGAGCTTTAATTATTTATAGTACTGGTAAAACTAATTTTCCACCCCTTCTCTTGCAAGAGGAGAGTCTCATCTCGAAAGAAGAGACTAGACATCTCATCACGCAAGAGGGTTTAAAACCTACAATAGTCCACTAATTTATTTCTTCAGTGCGTCTGGTTACTGTGTGACCTCAAAACATTTTTCAGATTCCCAGAAGGTGGTATAACACCCCCCCCTCCCACCCCGCTAAACATGAGTATTAGCGATAATGTTATAAAATAACTAAGATAGTAAGCGTGTTCTGATTGGTTAAAAACCTCTGGTTTATTGTGCCAGCAAACTCAGTTTTACTTAAAGTTATTTTGTAAAAGCAATAGACCACACTTTCCATGGGTTTACTAGCGTGATAACATACTTGGGATGCTGGGAGAACACTCGTGTTCTCTCAACATCCCACGTGGGTTATCACACTGGTACACCCATGGAAAGTGTGGTCTATTGCTTAATTAAATGTAATTGATTATAATCTTCATTAATTAGTGTTGATAAAGTTTGAAGCAAAGCTTCACTTACATTAATGACAACTTTGCGTGTGTCTTCTAGAATGACATAATAGTTTTTGCCACAATTATATTGTGACTTTCTTTGGTCAGTGCACATCTTGTAATGTTAAATGTAATGTAGTGGAAGAGATTGTCACATTGTTGTTTATAAAATAATGAGCCATTAAAACAAGGCTTAAATATGTATATTTTTTAGGAAGTAATTTCATAATCAGTAATGTTAGTTTAATAATATTTGTCACTGAGAGGCAATTTGATCAATAAAATATCAAATAATATTCAACCAGGCCCAAAAAAGACAACCTTTTTACAGCCCTCTTAATTGTAAATATCTTCTTCCTTGTAATATTATCAGAGCCAAATTTTTTTTTTTTTTGACATGGAAATGACATTGTTGTGAGATACTGGGGTAATGTGTTTTGCGTTGCGTCGTTTACACGTCGTCGTTTTCCCTTCTCTAACTTAAAATCAGTGGTTAAATGAAACAGTCTTTGTGTACACCAAAAGAAAACAAAACAACTATCAATATTTGTACAGTTTTAGTCGTTCTGTGAAAGCTCCAACGGTACAGTAAACTATAAATAAACGGTCCGCTAAGACTGTCGTTGATTTCTCTTTCTTGTATTATGATTTGATGTTCACAGTTTATCGGGTCATTCGATTAGTTCTTTTAACAGATTTAACGCTGTTTACTTGCCTCGCCAAAACAACGAAGAATCAGATATAAAAGTTAATCTGGGAATGTCTGCATCGATAATTAGAATGCCGTTTCTTTCTACGTACTTCAGTTTCTTAAAAAAATTTCGATATTAAACGAGTAGGCCAGCAAAAGTTTTATTCAGAGGTACTTCCTACGCCATTCCAAATCACAACAACGAACAAACCAACCACAGATAAAGACTCAGTATTGTCCAATCAGTTTTATCAGTTATAGTGACGTCAGTATTTTCTGATTGGCTGACATCTCTATTGTTCTGTTCCCTATATATTTGCAGTACCACCCGGATGGTTTGGGCGGATCAGTAAAACCAGTGCACAATGAAGTTCTTTTACTAACACCTCAAGATAGCAAAATATAATCTCATGCTCAGTCTCAATCTCAAGCACCACCCGACATAGCTATGCATATTCAATGAGGCGCCAGTAAAGGATTTACAATTTACACCTTTCTGCACATCTGATTAACCCAGGTCACAGTGGGGCCTCAGTCAAGGCAGCTGAATAGGTACATAATTAATGAACCGTCTCCATTAAAGTAATAAAGGTTTTTTGCCTCACATATGCGCGCGCATGACATCAAGTTATTTCGAAGTTGTGTGAAAGGGTTTAAAGGAAAATTAGTCTAGCGGTGCTTGAAAAATCTCGGAAAACGATGATAAATTTTCTCAAAAAAACGCTTACAAGGGTAGCACAAATTCACCATATACACTGTACTAGAAGCGAACACCGAAGACTGAAAGAGCGAAAGGAGAGTTGGAAACTTGTTTGATTCTATTTTCAAAAGACTCGACTGACGTTTAAGAATGACGATTGTAAATTCCATAAATTACGTGTTAATGATTCTGACGTAAACAACGGAAGTTTCAAACTTTCTTACAAAGTGACAAAACGGTTCTTGCTACTTTTTGGTTCGGCGATATTGCGGACTACAAATTATGGAAATATTGCTTTTGCACAAGGATGCCTACAGTACTTAAAGTGGAACCTACACAAAGGTAGTTTTGCTTCATTTTGTTTTCTTTTTCACTGTTTTTTCAGACAAAAAAGCGCGTTAGTGCCAGGATGCCTTGACAAGCTAAAGAAATTCTAGCCACCAACTGAAAATGATTGTTGTACTCAAATTCAGATTTCTCTCAATTTTATTTAGGGAATTGGTAGAATGAAGCAATTTTTTTTATATAATTGGCTTGTTAATGAACACTTAAGGCCTCTTTTCTTTTGAATAACTTTTCTACTTCCAAGACGCATTTGAAAAAACAGTTGTTGACAGTCGGTTGGTATGGTAACGAGAAATGACGTCACTAACTTAAACGACTCTACTCTAAGTTTGCCAGAAAGGTTTATTCTGCGGATGGAAATTTTTTTTGTATTTTGTTGGAACCAATTTCAGCGATTTCTCCTATCTGATTTTCTCATTGGGAATTAAACAATTTGAGCGGTTGTTAGCTGCTGCATGAAAAATTCTCGTGTTCATTGGAGTCAGGATACAGGGAAACGAATACCCCCTTTCTTTCTTGTTCATTTGAATTGTGTTGAAATCTGTGCGGTAGTTTTTCTTTTTTTCAGGGGAGTTTTTTTTTGTGGCCGTAAACGAGAGCACTATGGGGAAAATGACCAAAAACTAACCCCCAAAATCAAAGGCCACGAGGAATAGGAAATCAAGAGCAAAAGTGTAATTTTCAGCATTTGTAGAACTTGACTACAAAAAACTATAGGAGGAAATCTTAGATCTACTTAAGATTGCGATCAAGATGGCCACATATTTGTTGATAATGACATTCTAACAGTGCAAGAGGCAGAAACCATGTTGTTTTAGGTTTTAGCGCGTTTGCGTTGATTCCTTGGGATAAACACAAAATTAAATAAAGTCAAAAAGAAGCATTTAATTTAGCTTCAAACTTCCTTTGAACACTTTTCTTTACCCTGGGTTCAGCCAGAGGCTTGTCCGCGAAGTGCGGTGGTTTCACTGTCTCACTGACCGTCTGACAAAAATGGATATCCTAGGATCTTTAAATCCGCAGTGCGGTAGAGCATTTCGATACTGCACAGTCCGCAGGATGCTCCTTATTCATCGAAAGTATCTGAAAGTTGTCAGAGCTCAGTTTTCGGGAGACCGCGGAGAATACAGCCAGGCTGCATTCCTTGACCCTAGAGGATTTGGGAATTCGGGTACTTATCTTTAGATAAAGCAAAACTAGCGAAAATCAAGAAATCTCTCATCACCAAAATACATGCAGTTTTAACTTCATAAACATTTTAGCCAATCAATCACAACCTCGTCCCCAGGGCGCTTTTCCCTGGCTTTGGGAAAAGCGCCCTGGGGACGAGGTTGCAATCAATCAATCAATCAAAAACTCAAGTGAACAATCAAGTAAACAAACAAACAAAAACATAAATTTAAAGTAAAATAATGAACTTTTGACTTGAGGATGTTTCCCTTAATATCAAATCAAAGTGTAATATGCTCCCAGCACAGTACAATTCTATTAAAAGGTAAAGCACAATTACATGTTCTATTTTTTTGCAGAAGTGGGTAAAAGGGGAGAAGGGGGTAAAAACATATTAATGGGCAGAAAATGGGTTCAAACAAGCATTGCTTCAGGACTATTGTGCATGAGACCAGATACGATTAAGCCTTTCCTGAATGCGAAATTGTTCTGTGTAATGACGTGAGACTTGGTAGATCGGCTCTGCCAGGGAGGGTGGGGGTAGGGGGTCCCATGTCACTCATCTGAATTTTAAAACGTCTCGTGTCAGTGTTTATAAATGCTTCACGTCGCTGTCGGAAATTGAACGAAAACTCTTTGTCTTTGTCGGAATGTTAGCCAAGGGGGATAGCGATGCGTTGTAAAGAAACCATTACAGTTCTGCAATTTCTCTAGAACATTTCGCGTATCGGACACCTATACATCGCCATTCACAGTTAACACAATTCACGGGAAGGTCCTCTGAAGCTCACTGACAAGATACGTTCTCTGAAGCGCAACGAAAATTGACGAAAGTTACATCTTCTTGGCATTCAGACTGGTAATAATTTAGCCAAACCACTGTTCTTTGTTGCTTATTCTCGGCTTTGCCGTCACTGTCGCCATAGGCGTACGGGAAATTTTTTGCCAGTGGGGGTAAACCATTTGCCCAAAAAATTCTCGCAAGTGTCCCAAACTTTTACAAAAGAGTCGAAAAGAAACGAGGGCCATATTGCAACAACTAGGCCGTACTGGCGTATGAAGGTGGGTCAATACAGTTTGTCAGGGTAAATGCCAAGTTTGAGCATAAAATACGTCGTCATAAACAAACATTAGGAAAAATTGCCACCACAGTAGATGAAAATTTGTCATATTGATCAGGGTTGCAATGACATCGGAGTTGTCATAGCATCGAAATCACGCCATTACCTATTTTACTTCAGCAAAATTAAAAATTCTCGGAACTGGGAGCCTTACAAAATCGTTCACAGGAGCTTTTTTCGCCAATACGGTATTCTCGATGTTTGCAAAGTTTAAGCAAAATCTGAAAGTGCTTTATCGAGATAGTTTGGGATGAAGTTTTTACCGTTAGAAATACGGTAAGAAAAGGAAAATCGTGAGGTTTGGCCGTTATCTGTAGAAAACGAAGCGCTTTTGACATGCAATTTCACCTCATAGTAGTTTCAACGTGTGTGAAAGATCGCGGAGATAGCTCTGCCCGATTGCTAGAAAGAAGGATTTGATTAGTATGTATCGCGGCGCTCTTGTTAGCGGTTTTGTAAACATTTCGGTCTACTTTAACAAATTAGCGATAGATTTTTTAAAAGAATTAAGATGCTTCTCGTAATTCAAACTGAGAATTAGTCAGCCACTCCTCCGTTTTCAGACCCACCCTGTACTTCGAGTGGAGATGATTCTAGAAAGTTATGCGAAAGTTTATTCTAATCAATTCACGACTGGATAGCCCATTCTAGCCAGTACAATGCAGTACGGTGCCCAACAATAAGGAAAAAATAAATATGTAAATTACTCATCACATGTTAGGCGATTACTTTCTCGTGTGAATGTAACTGGATTATTACGCTGACTTCAGGTTAACGTCTTTAAAAATAGGCTTTGCCCAAATTTTCTCTTGCTGCCCAAAAAAAAGCTGAGTTGCCCAAAATTTGGGGGGGCTGCAGCCCCCTTCGCCCCCCCGGCCTGTACGCCTATGCTTTGAGAAAAAGGTAGTAGGTTAAACTATACTTGATCTCATTTGAAAGATAAATTATTGAAATTGTGGAAGTAACTTAAAAAACTGAAATTTTATGTCAGTTCTTAAAATTCACAAATGGACAGATCCAGACTGGAAAGCAAAGTTACTTGAGGTTTTGCTTAGGCCTTCACACACGAATTTTTGGTTAAGTAAAACTTAGAGGCTCTTACGTCTTACTTAACAGCCTAGTGTAAAGACAACCTATAATTTACACCCCTAAGCGAGACGACGAGCATCCCTGTCACTTTTATATGGGAGTCCCCCCCTCGCGGGGCTCGTATACGGTCACGCGACAATCGTAAAGGGGCTCATCCGCTCCAGGCAAACTCCAGGCATAAATAATTAGAATGTGCGATAGCAAATAAACATTAACTCTCTCCTTCTTGTCAAATGGTTTTTAATTTTTTTGACAAGCATGGTGGAAGACCGAGATTTGGTTCATCTAAACCGTTTAAAATTTTTCAACGATGCTGTCTTTGCCATAGTGTTGACAATTCTGATTCTTCCAACACGGAAACTGATAGTTACTTCAGATGTTGATCTGAAAGCGGAGCTTGAAGGTGGATGGATTCGGCTGGTTGCCTACTTCTTTGCGTTTCTTGTCATTTGAGCCGTATGGGAATCGCACGTACATCGATTTATGATTCTTTCCCATATCGACGATGTCTTGATTTGGTTAAATCTCGCGTCTTTGATGTTCACACCGTTTTTGCCCTTCGCTTGCGCATTGGAGGGAAAATACCCGGAGAAATTCTTCCCAGTTTTGCTGATATGTAGCGACATGGCGATCATAGAAGTTCTTGAAGTTTTCATGATCTTGTATTCTTTTCGCCACGTTGATTTGCTCACCGATGAGCTCCAAGAGCTACCGGAGAGAAAAATGAAGGAACGTAGAGACTACATGCTAGCGAAGAAAATTCTCAACACACTGTTGTACGTGATAGCAGCTTTCGTGAGCAACGTTAACGCCATTTCCGCTTGGGTGTTAATTTCCATAGTCATTGTCACGCCATGCATACACCGATTTATTGGAATTGTTCTTCGAAAGTGTAACGCAATCCGCATGCTTGGACCTGAATTTGACCTCATGTTTGGTAACTACATTGATACAGAGAGAGTAGAATGTTTCAGCGATGGAGTATTCTCCATTGTTGCCACCCTCTTAGTGCTTGACATAACTACGGAAAATTTCCCCAAGGAAGCGGATATCGATAAAGATGGACTTGGTACAACTGTGAGGAATTTATGGCCCAGCTTCCTTGTGTACATAACGACATTCATAGTAATTGCATTCTTGTTTTTTGTTCACCATTCTCTGTTCCACTGCATCGAAAAAATGAATCAAGTCATGTTGGTTGCCAACAATATTTCCTTGGCCTTCATTGGCTACTTCCCCTTCTTTGTTGCCTGTATTCAACAAGTATGTTGAACGCCCCAAAAAGCTCAACGCCGATACAAAGCTGGCTGTGCAGATTGGTTCAGTGGCCATATTTGCTGCGAGTTTAGCACAAGCAGTTGTATTTATTGTCGCACTGTGGAAAGGATCTTCCCACCTGGAACCCAGAGCAAACCCATCCATTTCAAGAAGCAGTCATTGCTATCTGGCACTCAAGCTAACCATTATACCACTCGTCAGCCTCTTCATCTACTTCACCACCTTTACCGATTATACAGTAGTATATATTGCTTTCCATACTGCAGTATTCATAACACCTCTTTTGTTTCTGTAGTCTCCCTCGCAGCCGTTTTTAGTATCGTCACGCAACGCTCTCTGGGGAGGAGCGTTGCGTGACGATACTAAAAACGGCTGCGAGGGAGACTATTGTTTCTGGTGCTCAAATTAATTTTTGGCCGTAGGGAGACAGGTGTAACCATCGCATGGACTTATCCATCTTACAGGAGAAAGCTAAGAGATCAGAAGAAAGGTGCAAGCGAAACTGTTCCTTTGTTGACAGCTTAAAGGGGTTGTGTCACGGCTGTCGTGTTCATTTTGTTAAAATCACCAGTAACGTGCTTTAATTCGCAGTGAACCTTAACTTAAGGGGATAAAATACTTGCAAATGGGTGTCAGTAAAACGCGGGATCGCAGTCTATCTTTTTTTAAAAAGTGTTAGTGTTAGGGTTAGGTTGACACTAACCCTAACCCTTGACCCTATCCCTACACTCCGATCCCGGTTCCGGCCCCTACCCCGGCCCCTACCCCGACCCCACGTTTTACTGACACCCCTGAATTTGGTGCCAGGGGCAGTTCTCACTCTTTGACACTGTTTTACAAACAAAAGGAGAAAAAGTTCCAGTGTGAGATTTTCTTACACTTTGCAAAAAAGGAAAAGCCGACCTGAAAGAGGTAGATTTTTTTATATACGCGAGCCTTTTATTGCAAATTCATTGCGCATGTTGCACATCCCTGTTAATCATTATTCCCAAAGTAAAGATGGGGTACTACTGTAGGCTGTGATGGAAGAGACTTGTTCAGCATTTGCGAGCATCCAAACTTCTCAAAACTGCAATTGCCGAGAGAAGATGGAGAACCGTTTTTCTGCAAGCATCAGAACTTCATATTAAGTGAGTAAATTGAATGAAATATATTGCTTCTTTTTCATGAAGATATTTCATGGAAGTATATTGTAAACAAATTCACTGATTACTTCAAGCTTGGAGGTATTTTTTGCAAGCATTAAAACTTTATGAGATTTCAAGAGAGTAATATTATTATGGAAATATGTAGTATATATGGTAAACTTTAAGGGATTTAATTTACATTTATAATTTTAGAACAGGCCTGTTTTTTATTATTGATTTACTATTATTATTGTTACCGACAAAATTGTAAGAATGTAATGCGCTTTTGTATTTTGTTACCTGAAAGAGAAAATTTGGAAATCGAAAGGTTTGACATTTCGGTTTCCTGGAGGGTATTTGGCAAAACTACAATTATAACAACAAGATAGCTCCTCTATTTAGGCCGAAGTGTGAATTTTACAAGAGATATTGGTCGCGTGACAATTTCCACATGACATCATGGGCCATGGGTCACGCGATCGAGTTTCTGAAAGAGCTTCAAAACAAACAAACGGCCCATTTTCACTGAAAACTGCTAAAGCTACAGCAAAGGAAACTTCGGTTCCTCTATCTATGCAAAAGATATGACTGTTCAGAACACGGTGCGACGCTTTCAGGTTTGATAGAGACATAAATAGCGTGATTTGCGATCGAATCACTAACTGAATTTCGTGACCAAGGATTATTGAAGTTTGTTGGCTGATACTTCACTAGAGATTTCCGAGAAAAGCGGAACTTTCAAGCTTTCGACTAAGCCTTCTTTTACCTAAAGCCGTTCAGAGAAGACAACGAGCAACATGCCCACAACGGATAACATAGATCTTTCTGAACTGAAACGTCTTCAATGCTTTAACGACGCCGTATTCGCTATCGTCGCGACCATTCTAGTTTTACCGATAAGAAAGCTCGAGGAGAAGGCAAAGGAAAACGTTAGTCTTGCGGATCAGCTAGGTGATAGATGGCCCCAGCTTGTAATATATTTGGTCGGATTTCTCGTGATTTGTGCTGTGTGGGAATCGCATGTCCTTCGCTTTCGAATCTTGTCCCGAGTCGATGACGTTCTCGTCTGGTTCAACCTCGCATCGCTGCTGTTTACCTCATTTCTACCGTTCACATGCGCTCTGGAGGGTATGTTCACCAACAAGTACCTTCCGATGATGCTTATCTGCGGAAACTTACTCACCCTAGAGATTCTAGAAGTCGTTATGATCGTGTATGCTTTTCACCATCCGCAACTCCTGGACGAAGAATTTGAGGAGCTCACGCAACCCGAAATCAGACAAAGAATGAAACTAATGCTGGTGAAGAAAGCCGTAAATCCCATTTTGTATGTTGTAGCCGGTGTGATCAGCATTGCGCAGATACAACTTGCTTTAGTCGTGGTGGCAATAGTCATATTCTCGCCTTGCATTAACCGCTTCGTGGGTGTTGTTTATCGGAGGGTTTCGCGCATCCCCCTGACAGGATCCGAGTTCGACCGAATGTTCGGAAACTTCGTAGATAAAGAGAGAGTGGAATTTTTCAGCGATGGTCTGTTCGCGATCGTATCTACGCTGCTCATACTGGATATCACAGCGGAAGATTTTCCGAACCATAGAGACGTCGAACGCAATGGTATCCAGAAAACCTTGTTGCACATGAAGTCGGAGATCTTCACTTATGGGGCTACTTTCGTGGTTGTCGCGCTTCTGTGGTTCACGCACCACTCGCTCTTCCACTGCATCGAGAGGCTGAACCAAGTGATGCTGGTCTGCAATAACATCTCATTGGCATTCGTGGGTTTGTCGCCATTAATTAACGTGACACTCAATCGTTATGCAGGGCACGGCAAGTCTGACAGCCGACTTGCTGTCCAATCGGGAGCGATTATCGTCTTTGGTGCCAGTATTTTTCAAGCAATTGTTCTTATTATCGCTTTACTGAAAGGTCCTAACTTTATCCAGTCCCACGCGGATCCTCACGTGTCGTCTCGCGCACACACGTACCTCGCACTGAAGCTCAGTGTCATTCCACTCATGACCTTCCTCGTATACATATCAGCCACGGTGTGTCCAAGCGCCTCGTTATCAGATGACGTGTATCACATTGCCGCTGGACTCACTCCTGTTATATTCATCGTAATGAAGATCGTCTTCTCATGTTGCCGGCGCTGTTGTCGCCTGTCGCTTTGCGATGTGCAGCAAGAACCTAGCTATTATTCATCAGAATTTTACGACATCATCGAAGGTGATTAAGAGCAATGCGTTTATCGCTTAACTGTTTAAAAGTTAGACAGTACATGGGGAAAAAGCAGCGAAATATTGATGTCTGTAAAAAACTGAGTAGCTCGTGTTGTTATTTTTCTCGAATCAAATTAGCCAAAATTAGATTCAAATTCGTGTACAACAGATGTTTAAGATGGATTTGTTCAGTTGATTTGTTTCAGCCAGATGAAAGGAATAGGAAAGAGATGTCCCAGGTTTTCTCTTTGTTTTGTCTGCCTCGAGCGAGGTAAAGGAGAGTCCCTGGGAATGAGTTTCATAATAGCTGTGGTCACACTACAGACTTTTACCTAGGTAAAACCGATTTATCTAGGGCAAATTCCACAAAAATCTGCCGAGGTAAATTCATCTCGGGTTTTGTTTTACCTAGGTAAAAATTCTGGGAAGGTCACACTACTGATATGGGCTCCCAAAGTTTTCACGCCAGTTGAATTTTTTGGAGCGTAAATTCAAGAAGGCAAAATGCGCAGGGATCTAGCTGATCAAAGAGACGTCTTTTTCTTTTATCTCGCTGTTATTTCTTACTCTAATTCAACGTTCAAGGTGAAGAAAGGCGAAGACGCAGACGACTCGTGCCCCCAAAATCTCTTTCACAGCGCGATCTATGTCCGTTCTGCCATCAAGACCCTCGCCGATGAGCGTCTATTGGCTAGCAACCTCGGTATTTCATTTTTCCCTAGCTATTGCTTTGGGGTAGCTGTCAAGGGAAACTCTATTGTTTTCGAGACATATCCAAGACCAAGTGTAGAATTTTGTGAAATTTGTTATTCTTGCAATTTTTGCCATATTTGTTGCTCAGTCTTTTCTCATAGTAAGAAAAATTCTTGTTACTTTTGCGATTTTTGCGAAATTTGCGGACGTCTCGAAGCCGTTCTTGACCTTTTCTCTTTTTAAGTGTTGAATTTTGTGAAATTTGTTGTTCTTGCTATTTTTGCCACATTTGTTATTCAATCTTTTCACATAGCATGAAAAATTATTGTTACTTTTGCGATTTTTGCAAAATTTGCGGACATCTCCAAGCCCGTCTTGACCTTTTGTCTTTCTAAGTGTAGAATTTTGTGAAATTTGTTGTTCTTGCTATTTGTGCCATGTTTGTTGTTCAGTCTTTTCCCATAGGAAGCAAAATTCTTCCTTTTGCGATTTTTGCGAAATTTGCGGACATCTCGAAGCCCTTCTTGACCTTTTCTCTTTCTAAGTGTAGTATTTCGTTAAATTTTTTATTCCTGCTAGTTTTGCTACATTTGTTACTCAATCTTTTCATTTAGCAAGGAAAATGCCCGTTACTTTTGCGATTTTGCGAAATTTGCGGCTTTCACGAAGGCCTTCTTGGCCTTTTCTCTTTGTAAAAGTAGAATTTTCAAAAATTTGTTATTCTTGTTATTTTCGCCATATTTGTTACTCAATCTTCTCACGTAGCAAGAAAAATTCTTCTTACTTTTGCGATTTTTGTGACATTTGCTATTTCTTCTCTATTTTTCTGATAGCAGTTTTCTTTACATCTTTTTTTGCTAAAATTGCGAAAACAATTTGCTAGCAAATTTTTGCTAACAAGATCGATTCTGGACATAAGTGCCGTTTGCAACATGAAAAACACAAATAACCTTAC